AACAACATGCTCAGACTTAAATTTTCTGTTACCATGGCAACGAGGGGACATCTCAAAATTGCCAAAAATCACTATTTTGCGTTGATTTTTTCCATCAAAATTGATTTCAAAGTGCTGCAACTTATCAATGGATTGAGATAGAGTCAAATGCTTTTCAGCGTTGGTTACACGTTACCTTATGATCAATCTGGGGTCATTTACAGCCTCTCACAAGTCCAAAATTTTCTTGGCGATGAGGGGGACTCCGCCCCCCTTCAAACCCCCCAAAACAAGAAGGGGGCAACATCCCCCCTTCTGAGCAACCCCCTGATGTATCTTTTGGTTGGGGGCCGCGCCGAAAAAAGAGGTCAATTTTTTTTAACAACATTTCTTAAACAAAAACAAGTGTTTAGGGCCTAAATAAGGCATTTTTTCATCATTTGAGACAACAAAAAGGGGGGGGGGTGAAAAAGGCGTTAAAAGGCGTGTATATGAAGTAATGGGTTAAGGCACTGTTTCCATAGACAGTAGAACTTCAGTCAGTTGAACTTTGCTTAGTCGATTTTCTCAAAGTGTCGATGTTTTTACGCAAGTCCCTTCAACTTCGACGAACCAAAGTTCTACTGTAGTTCACAATTTCTACTGTTCATGCTGAAATTGACAGTAGGTAGGAAAACCACAAACAGACAGCTGGAAAGTAAATGGTCTTCAGTCAAAACAAGCAGACACAAGTATCATAGAGAAAGCAGACCCCTCTGATAAGATGTTGATTAATGTAGTTAAGGGGGGAGATAACCCCGTGTGAGTAATGTTTGATCAGGCTAGTACCGGCTTTGACTCGATCACACCTTGTACAGATAACAGCAAGATAACATGGTTTATTTAAGATAGCTTCTAACTAGTAAAAGTAAATAGAAAAGTGAGAAAAAGATAGCACTTTTGTTCTCTGTGGAAACAAAAAAATCGTTGATGAATGGTGTAGAAGAGAAAAATGGTATTTTGTTATTATAGGCCTAGAAACCTATAATTAAGCTATTAGAACGATATATGAGCCTGACCTGTCAGTTGTTTGAGGTCCAGCTTCATTTTCGAAAGAGTATTGGTGCACTTTGTTAAAGTTCTGCTGTATTTTGGGATCATAAAATTTTTTTTTAGTTTGATTGTGCAGGAAGCTATAGGCTTATAAACGCACTTTGGAATATGTTCCTGGAACCAACCAGTACTGAGCAATGAGTGTAAAGTTTCTTGTTTAAGGAAACAACGACTTGCCCCTGTCAGGATTTAAACCCATGCAGCTAGCGATCATTAGATTACTAGTCCGAAGCGTTAACCACTCGGCCATGCCGCCACTATGCTGCATTTGGGATGATAAAATAGTTTATTGATGTATTTATGTTTTAAAAAAAAAAAAATTTAACCACAATACAATACAATACATGAACATGCTCAGTCAAACATGAGCCTTCAACGTTTTCAATTTTGATGTCTTGAGTGTTATTTAAGGATTCCGTTTTCCTCCATTTGAAATTGCTCACCATTAATGACATTCAGATTGTCAATCTTATCCCTAACTAAAGCCAATGATATATGTTTCACAAATTGACAAATAAAATAACAAGAAAGATCTCATCCATTACAACATATTTACTTAATGAACAAACCAATAGTCTATAATTCTAACATCAAGAAAATATCCGTAGAAATCTTCCCATATCAGCGGCAGCGCAAACAATAACTTTCAATATTCAATTGATGTAATATATATGATAGAGTACAAACAGGCTATTCTTTACCATGATAAAATAGGCTAATATTGTAAAAGCTTTAATTCATCACGAGTCATTCCAGGAAAAAAAGAGGGGGAATGTTTTCATTTATATATGTCATATTTTGGACACTATTCTCCTAAAACTACAATGACTCTTGACTTTATTATCACAAATTAGACGCTGTCTTTTATATTTCATTACTGCAGACATTTTCTTGAAGCGTTTATCAATGGCCGCCAGACAGACAATGTGATCGGGCTTTCTCTGTGATGGAAATGAATATATATCATAGAAGAAAGGCCACAAAAAACCCCACAAACAGTTGCAGTAAATATTTGGCTGAGAAAATTCAATTACTGCACTTTAGTACTGGTGCAAAATGCTATTTGTCTGCAGGACCACCTGGAATACAAGATTTATTTCTTGCTAAGGGGGCGTCAATAGCAGAGTTGTAAAGATGGATGACTTCAAACAGCTTGACCCTTACTGCTGTTGGCCGGAATTCTGGACTTCTTTCATATGAGAGGAAGCTATCTGGCTAGCTTACAGAACGTCGGTTAATCTACTTGGGTGACTGCTCCTGTCTGACCAAATGTACGGAGGGACATTTGACGTCTTGTTCCACCGTTAAGCGGGAAAGTCACAATATAACAATATCAATGTCAGTGTGACTTAAAACCAAAGAAACAAAACAAAAAGTGTTTGCATGAGAATCTTGAACATTTTGTTTTTTGACCGTTTTTTAGAGCTCAATACATGTACTTTACCAGCATATTCTGTGTTGTGCGTTACAAACAATCAAACTGATACAGTGTCCATCTTGTATACTGGCCAGTTTTTGAAGTGTTGACATTTTTAAAGCATACTAAAGGTTGACAATTTCTGTTTCTTATTTTGTGACAAAATTGTCGCTGGATATGTCTATGACAGTAACACGATTTCTGTGGGACAATCCCAGACATCAGGTATCTTGTTGCATTTAATTATGTCACATATCACAACACAACATATTTGGATCATGAAGTTATGGGTATTGAACCCCTGCCATTTGTTTCCTGTGATATATTTATTGATACAAGTCATTGTGTCCTAGTCACTAATTTTCAAATCTTTACCATCACACTTTATTTAATATTAGGAAGTAAGTGCAGACTCAAAGGTTTGCAAATTATCATATATAAATTTTGGCGGGAACAATAACATTAGCCATGGGGTTCAACATACATGTATTTTGTTTTTCTGATAGTCAGGAATGTTAAGAAAAGAAGTGATTTTGAGATTTTTAAAGTGTGCAGGAAGTGATTATATACTACTTATCCATTTTTTATTCATTTTTTCTGAAGATATTACATAATTAATATTTATTCAGCTTTCAGATACATTTCCTTATTATCTCCCTTTATTTAGATTAAATTTATTTTTGGCTGATTGCGACATTTACTTAATGGTACACTGCTAATGTAAAGTAAATATTCCTTCCTTTCTCTATTTTTCTACTTAAGATCATTCTCGAAAGATGGACAATTGATTTTTCTCACCTTTGCACAATGACTTCTCCCTTATTGGATTATATAGATAAAACTAATATTACATGAAGATCCCTGATAGGGGGGTGTTTATTTTGGGATTGGAATATGGACAAAGGTATTATCACTGGATATAAAAGATTAAAACTTGTGAAAATCTGTTGGTCCATGTGATAAATAATTGTTGAATAATATGACAAATATTTAGTTAACTTTTTCTACGGCATGGCCGGGTGGTTAAAACGTCAGACTCAGTAATCACGGGTTTTTCTATTTGGGGGGTTCAAACCTGTCAGGGACAATAAAATTGTTTCCTGACAAAAATTTTACAATCATTCCCCGGGTACTTTGGTTTTTTTCCGGGAAAACGGCCCTGGGAAGGGGTTCTAAACCCTTTAAAAAGCTTTCCTACAAATAAAACTAAAAAAAAATTTCCCTTAAGTAAAAAACAAAAAATTTACAAAATTTTTAAATGTCTTGTAAACGAATCTCTATCTTTCCTCTTAGACAAATAGTATAAACAATAAAATTCTAAGGCATGAACTGCTTGGTCAGTTCGCTATAAATATAAGGAAAATTGATGAAAAATAAAAAAAATGAAAAGGTCATTTAAAAAATTCTTGCCTTATTAAACCTACTTACACGAAACCTGCTTCAATTAATGTGAATTCCTATTGTGTTTATTTTTCTTGGCCTTTTGTTAAAACCTTGATCAAATTACTTGTTAAAATGTAAAAATATGATATCATTAATTGTTCCTAAATTCTCATGTAAAAATATATTAATATCGCTTATAAATTATGTTGATATTGGATATTTATTGCTAACATGTAAAATAATATTGTGGATAAAAGGAATGGATTATGTAGAGAAAAGGAATTGATTGTTCTTGTGAAAATATATGAATTTCTTGTTTTCTCCTGTAAAATAAGCTAATATTGTTTGTTCTCATGTAGAATAAATGTGTACTCATATATAATAATGTAAACATGTTATTACTTTTTGACCTTTTCACGCTTTCAGTACTGGTTTGTTCAAGGAATGGATTCGAGAGTTTGTCTATAATCTTAAAATCAAACTAAGATAAATTCTTTTTTAACTAAAAAACTATTCCTTATGCTTTGTAAGCATCTATCTAACTTTTTAATAGACTACTTGTTCTTGCGTAAAATAAGGTTATATTACTTGTTCTAATGTAAAAAATAATGTAAATATTCTTATGTGAAATTATTTAAATTATATTTCATGATTATAATACATGCTATATATTCATATTAAAAAACAATCTGTTAATATTACTTGATGTCATGCAAAATTATATTACTTAAACTCATGTAAAATAAATCTCATATAAAATAATATTATTTAATCTCATGTAAAACAGTATTTCTGAATGCTGTGTAATATCAAAGTACTTGTTCTCATGTAAATAATAGTAATTGATCTCATGTAAAATAATATTACTTGATCCCATGTAAAATAATAGTACTTGATCTCATGTAAAATAATACTACATGTACTTGATCTCATGTAAAATAATACTACTTAATCTCATGTAAAATACTACTGCTTAATATCATGTAAAATAATGTATTACTTGATGTGATGTAAAACAATATAACTTGATCTCATGTAAAATGATGCCATATAAAATGATAATACATGTATTTAATCTCATGTAAAATAATAATACTTAATCTCATGTAATGTTATTATATAATTTCAGTTACAAGGTATGTCTATATCAGAAGAAGGTGAGGAGAGCATTCCCAACTCTAACAACGGTCGGCTGAATAAGCTACAGATGTTACAGTACCACCAGGCAATACTGGAGTCACAGACCCGAGCCTGGCTACAGACACAAGAGGGCCAAGAGGTTTGATATGACAAAGTTTTTACAACATTTTCTTTACATTTTGTAACCTCTACGGTTCTTAAATCTGTTTGTGAAAGTCTTTGTTTAATGATTTAAATTCTGATCTGAAAATTCAATACTGTAAGCCCTTATAATTATTATGTGATGTTCAAGATTAATGGTATTTTGAAGGAAATTAAAAAAAGAATTTTAAAAAAAGTATAAGAGTGAACAAGATCCATGCAATTTTCCAAACATTGACATATTGAAAATATTGAAAAATAGAGATATAAGTCATAGACCCAAGTCTGGCTACAAGTAAGAGCCGAAAATTCAATTAAATTGTGCACAAAACATTTAAAGTGTAACAATACTTGTAGCATTCACAAATTGCACAAGAATGAATGATACTGTGTTACGACAATGTTGTTAATTAAGTTAATAAAAACTGTATGAAATTGCTCCTGGTTATTGGTATTCTAAAGTTATTATTTTATGCTCACTATTAAGTTTGTAAAAGTTTTTTTGCAAGAATTGTAATTTTTAATTGTATGATTTTGTTTCAGGAGGGAAGTAGTTTTGATGTAACGCTACCCGACGATAAATGTAGTGATACATCAGAGGAGGTTACCGCTAGCGACAGTGGTAAAGGTGGTAGTGAAGATGACATTCCGTCCAATCATTCACGAGGTACGTATTTAGTGCAGTTTATACTAATTTAATTTAGTTGATTGTGTTAGAAGCTATAAGCTTATTGAAACACTCATGAATCCATTCCTGGAACCAACCAGTAAGCAATGAGTGTGAAGCTCTTTGCTCACAGAAGCAACGACTTGACCTTAATGGGGTTTGGACCCACATGGCAGCAATCCTTGGATTACTATAGTTTGACGCGTCAGCCACTTAATAATTCCTAGCTAACTGTAATCTCATATTCATGGATGTACACTTATATATAAGTATTCTTTTGATTGATGCACAAAAATTAGAAATTTGCATAAAGCATAGAAATTTGATTTTTCAGTGCTGATTATACATTACGGAAATTTATTTTAACAAAAATGTCTCCTTTATAAAGAAATTGTTAGATCTTTTTACCTTTTGTTTATGGGTTAGAACTCTTAGTGTAGTTAATGTCTAGCAAGATAATTGTAATATAAGATAATTATAAACTGTAGCCTTTTGTCTAAAACAATTGTTTCATTAGTCAATGTGAAAGTTGGCAATTAATTTCAGAGAACTCTGGTTAGCATAAAGTCCAAAAATCCAATAACATTGCTTATATAGTTTATCTGTCTACCACATTGGTTAACTCTAACAAAACAAACATAATTCTCTAGACTGCAAAATTTCACAAAATTTACCACACAAAAAAAAGATTCCAGGAACAAAATTTTTCCTTCGCACTTTAAGTGTTGCGCAATCACAAAATTCTTTTTTTTTGTGGCAAGGATCTTACTTCCAATTCCTTTAATGGTTAATTAAGTCGCGTATCACTTTTCCCACGTTCCTAGAAATGGCATGTTAACCTATTACATGTTTAACAAAGGCCCTCGGGAGCCGATGTTCAATTAATTACAACCAATGGAGTCTTCAAATTCTACTAAAACAATTAGATTTCAAGATATTGGTTCTAAATTTGGTTTTTAAATTAGACTAAAGGAACAATTTTTCATTAGCTGAATTCTCGGAGCTCTAGGGATCTTGCTTATAGCCGATTCTTTGAATTTTTCACTCAAGTTTGGAATTAACGTGCGATGTTTTGCAAAGCTTTTTTAAACTGAATTGTATGCTGCTTGCAGCTCTTATATTAAATTCTGTTAGAATTTTGAATTCTTTCATTCGAGGAATATAACTAGTGATTAAGAAAAAGGCAAATTATTTAGTGGTGTGCTTCCTTTCTTTGTACACCCATACCTGAGGCAGAGGCGGCAAAAATAATTGTCGTATTGCCCAGGCTGTCCACAGCTTATACTTTTAACAAATTAACTATGACAAGTTAAGAAATGCTTCACAGAAAAACAGACTAGTAAGTCAAAATCAGATTTTGCTGGCCCTGTACCTGCTGTAGACCTGCACTACTTAGAATGTTGAACAATAACAAATCCCTTCGCCTGCTAGCAGCAGCAGGTTCTTTCTGTGCAAACAGTGCAGACCACGCTCAATTAGCTCTTCCATGATGTCTCTGATCATGGTCTGCACTGTTTGCTATTCAGTCAGTACATAATAATAAATGATTTTGAAATTGTCCATAAAATGATGACTGGTTATGACAAGTCTATTTAACATATTTAGCAACGCCAGGGTTATGGAATTTCATTATAAAAAAAAAAACTTCCACCAAATCACAGCAATAATGACATGTGAACCATGTCAGTGAGACTTACAACTAAACCCAAAGAAAAAAAAAAAATAATAATAATTTTACAAAATTTTCAATTGACATTAAGTAACCACTCCAGTTTCATCACAGTTCTGATGTAATTTGTAAAAGCTTTATTTTTCGATTTGCTGCTTGATAAATCAATGTTTTCTATAACATTCCCTCAAAATGAAGAAAAAGTGAATGCCCTCTTTATCTGTATAAGTTAATGAAATACAGTTTTAATCTCACGTGTTAATGTGTTTGATTTGGTATTAAATGAAGCTTTCCAGTCTTCTTGAAATAGTACAACAATCTTGGTTCAGTTACTGTCTGTTTTATAAAAGATTTCTTATGAAATTTTGGGGACAGACAATGATTAAAATATCTTGCCTATGTCACTAGTTGGGTGTACGTGGCCATGCGGTTATGGTCGTTGACTGCAACTTACTACTTGTCCCTCCTGCAAGGGACTTTGCGTTAAATTATTTCATATGAGAAAGTTATCCAGCAATCTTATGAAACATCTGTGGTTCTACTCAGATGCCCATTAATGCCTGAAATAATGCACTAAAGGGCACCTGAGGTCTTCCTTCCCCAGCAATGCTGGAAAGTCGTCATATGACTTTTACAGTGTTGGTACGATGTAAAACACAACCAATAGAAAAGTCACTAGTACAGAACCAGGCAAGCCTGCGTATCGAGGCAATTTGACCAGCCCCACTACTGTTGGCTACTGAACTTTATACATTTTGATATCAAAGTCCTTATATAGATTGCGTCATGTGACTAAGCTATCCTGGTAGCTTTCAGAAAGTCATTGATTCTACAGCTGCTGCAGGGGGGGGGGGCAGTCCTGACGTCTTCCTCCACCCCCCAGTTGCCATTTTACCTTAATAATGTTGCTGTTACTTGAACAGCCCTAACAAACAAAAGTATTTTTTACCTTATAATTCTTTAAAAGCAAAGTCCTATAAGCAAAGATATTGCTTTTAATGATTCTGATTACAATCGATCATCATATTTCGGAGAGAAAAAAGAAATTTTAGTAAAAAGTTTTGATACGGAACATGCAAACCAAACATTATAGCCCTGTGGAAAATTAGCATGTTTTTTTCTTCTTTTAGATGATCACAATTTGGCATATAAATGATTGATACTGAAAGATTAGATACATAGAGAGTTTCGTGATTTCTATGGGATGTCAGGATTGGATTTAATTGATTTGTTGAAATTAGTGGCAAATTTGTAGTCAGTTTCCATTTTTTTTGACGCAGTGATTTAGAATTTTCTGATAAAAGGATTCGATGCATTCAACCAGATATATTACATTCCCTAATTATTTTGCCAAACATTTTCATGATTGTTCCGTCATTCTTTTATTTCTAATTTTTCAATTTTGTTATGAAGTGATTTTTTTTTAACATGGATCCATTGGCCATGTCACATTGTTAGCTGTGAAAGACATTAAAATCATTATAGAATTTTAAACAATATTAACAGTATAAGCAGATGATAAAAAAAAAACAAGCAAATGAAAAAAAAAATTTTTTAAGTTGTTAAAGTTACTAGAAGCTTTGCTTAATTATTTGCTTATATACTTCATTATTACAAAAATGCATTTCATTTTACAAAATTTTGGTCTTTGTTTTATTTTAATATCTTTGTAATTTGTAAATCTGTTTTATTTTAATATCTTTGTAATTTGTAAATCTAATTTTGAAAACTATATTATTTTTTTCTTTTTAGATTTAAAGAATAGAGTGCACGGGGTGGTACCAGGCAAATTCCAAACCCGTCACTACGTCGCACCAGAATTCCGACGTCAAGGCAGTCTACAGCGTAAAGCATGTGACATAAACTTTGAAGACAATCGCGTTCATTCTCCAGCTAGTCCTTTATCGGATGATACGCCTTATCGGCCTGAAAGTCGTGCTAGTCTTGCAAATTCCACGCCTAGGCCAAGTAGTCGAGCGGCCATGTTTTATCCAAATGAACACACTTTTAACAGAACTTTAGACAGTGTGGGGGACCATACCAGTGACTGGGACTCGGCATCTTATGTGTGAAGTTTGTGATAAATCATTAATATCCTTACAATAAAACACAAAAATATGACTTTGTGAAACATGGTTATGTGAAGAATGTTGCTATTTTTTGACAAGAGGCTGAAAAATGTGATGCATCACAGAAAATGTGTTGTTTCATAGAAAATGTGACACGTCACAATATTAGTGCTATGCTTCACAGAAAATATGATGTTTCACATAAAGGTGATGCTTCATAGCAAATGTGATGTTTCACAGACAATGTTATGCTTCACAGAAAATGTGAAAGTGAGAAAATGTGAAATTTTTAATGTAGATGTGACTAGTATGACAGAGATGGTCAGAAAATGTGAAAAACATAAAAATAAACTAGAATTAACTGCCAAAATGTCCACTATAAGTACATCTACTGTTGTATTTTACCGGTGAATCAGTCGAGAAGAAAGAAAGACTTTAATAACTGAGATTATTAAAAAAAAACTATGATATTCATGCAGCTTTAGGGAAGCACATTGTAAAATATTGAATTTAAATTGAAAAACATTTTGCTACCACGTATTACAGTATTACATAGAAATCCTAGTTAAGGTGTTATATCCATAAATAGTATGTCTAAATTTGAGTGATGTTTTCATATGTTTATCTTTTTTGTCTTATCTGGCTTTAAATTTTGACCATATCATTTGACTTATATAATGATATTGGTTATATAAAAAATTATGACTTGTTATATGACCAAGTAGAAATGGTTATAATTATGTTTCATAGGTTTTAAGTTTATATATACCGTAATCTATGCTGCTTTGTGACAGATATAAATGATCTGGCCATAGCATTCTGACAAAAGTCTGTATAACTTAGTTCTTATCATGTGATTTCCTTGAATTTTTTATGATTTAAATAAAAGTTGCAGCAGCTGTGTATACACTGAGATTGTCTGATGAAAATTCATGTGACAAATATGGTTTATAATAAACCACAAAAATATTTAAAATTTCAACCAGCTTATAATGGATGTTTCACCTTAAAATTAAGTGTCATTTGTTTGACACTTGTATGTATAGTGTGTTATAGAATGTTTCTTAATACATGGGTTATGTAAAAATGATGTTGTAAAAAAGTGCTGTGCATGTAGTCAGTAAAGAAAGTGCCGAGCTATATCAGGTGAGTTATATGATGATATCATGTATCATGTACTAAACTTTGGTGTCAAACGGCAGTAACTCATAAAATTTTGAACAGTAAAATATTACAACTTTTTAGCCAGATAATCATAATGATCCCATCCAAATTTGTATAATGCACTTTAATTTGGAAAAGTCTGTTAAAAGTTATTAATTGTTTGGATAAAATGACAACAAAAAAACAACAACTAAAATCGAGCTGACAACTGGCAATAAAGTATGCGGATGTACAGGCTCGTTTGACTTCATACATGTGGTAAATGCATGCTTACACTTGTTTGTACAGTCTAACCAGGCTCTATACAGTTTTGCTGACCAACTTTTCAAAGTTTCATAATGATATCCCTACAAATGATCTGGACTGATCCGAAAATTAAAGTTGATCAAAACCGTTCCTAAATTCAACAGCATCAACATCATAAAGGTTAAGACACAATAGCAATAAAATCTGCAGTTATTTCTAAGTCACGTTGGTTCTTGCCTTTTATTTTGATATTATTTTTTTTGTAATCCAGGTTTAGGGTGTAAAAAATAATGAATAAGTTTTTTAAGACTCCACTTTAATCACAACCCTCACTCTTTTTCTCAGGTTTACTATTTTGCATTTTGATATTAGTTTTAATTTATGAGCTTATTTTTTTTTTCTGAAAAATATTAATTTTAACTTTTGTTTGAGAGGTAATGAACAGTTCTTATTTTATTATGAATCACAAATGAAAATATTTTGATGCTTATAAGAGGAGGGTTTTTTTTTATTGAGAAGGTTATAATACACACCTTGTAATAAGTCAATCCAAAAAAATTCAAAAAATCCACAGAAAAAAACTGGTCAAAGGAAAATATTACCATTACATTTTTTATGAAATGTATAGAACTTTTTTTTAAGTTTGATAGACCCCCTTTCTTATAAGAGAACTGCATTATAAGTGAATATATATAGAACTTTTTAAATTTCGATTCATTCTGATTCATTTCTGTTCACAGAAAATGACAATAGATATATATACATTATATAATTATGATGAAATTGATATTAAACTTCCTTGCAATCAGTTTTAAAATTGTGCTCTTATGTTATTAACTGTTCTTCTTTCTTTGTTGTACTTTAATTATCATTGGAAAACTGCAAAATAGTTTTGACAGAAATGAAATCATTTATCTTTAATAAATGGTTTTCTTCAAGTTTCCTGATTAAAATTTAATTGTTTCATTAAAATTTAATTATTTCCTTCTTTTTTTTGATGCTGTTAAAAATTAAACTAGAACTTTTCACTTCATTGTCAAAGAAAATTAAAATATGTTACAGACACAAAATCTTTCTTATTTTTGTTCTTTGTGCTCAAATTTTTCAAAAAAAATCATGGCTTGAAATGAATAATCAGATATAAGGACGGACAAACTTGAAGCAAAATATGTTAATATTTAAAATTAAATTCAAAATTAAGTTAACTATTGTTTCCTTCTTTTTGGTTTTAGTGAAGTCTGTTGTTAGTTTTGAATCAAAATGGAATAATACCTGTTTATTTTTTCAGTTAACAATGTTGTAGCATTTCTCTCCCTTTAATTTGTGTGTGTAGAAATTAAAAAGGGAGATCATCACTTTTACATTGGCAATAAGCCTGCAAGAGTTGCCTCCCATCATGCTGAAGTCTAGTCACTGTTGTAATATAAATATAAATGCATTTTTAATATGTTAGATGTTTGATTTAAAATGTTGTTTATATTATTAAATATGTATATTAAGTCACGGACCTTAATTGTCAATAAAGGTCCGTGATTAAGTGCAGATATAAAAAAACAAACTTAAAAAGCAAACTAGGATTTTAAAACTAACAAAGAAAATACTAGATAAATAAATCTATTTTTTTTTGTTCTTGGAAGACATTGCACATAGGTATAACAGTAACGTGTACCTACTTGAGTGTTAATATATCATCATTTCTGTATGCTGCAGCTGGCCCTGTAATTATTGTTCTCTTAGTGCAGTTAATAGCCTTGTCAAAATTGTTTTTTTACTTATTCATGGGCAGATTGTATATAAGTGCAGGAAATAGCAACCTAAAGATAAAAATGTTTTTTGATGCATTCTTGAGTGAGTATGTTCTCCTGGGGAAGACCTAGTACATTTTATAGTTGATCATCATTTTCTGTTTCAAGTTTTCAAGTACTTCAAGTGTCTCCTTTCTAGGTATGAGTCATAAAAATAATATAAGTCAATGTGGGTTTTTTTATGTTAATATATGTATACAAAATTGACTGGAAAGTGCAAAATATGATAAACAAGATCAACAAGGAAAGGCAGTGCAAACTTATACTTTTTTGTTTTTGTATATTTATTTAAGATAATGAAATTTACTTGTATTGCATTTACCAAAGCTGTAGGGATTTTAATTATGTCTGTAAAAATGAATTGTCATATGTTTAATAATTAATTTTAGAATAATATTGTTAAGTTTTTTTTAAACAATGAAATGCTGTACTCTTAAACTAAAATATTATTAAATACGAAGTCTACTAGTTATGTATCTTATTTCTTGTATATGATGTGTTAATAAGGTATATATTTATAAGAGTTATACAGTTATAAGACAGTTATAAAACCATCTTTCAGAAGGCTTCAATCAAAGTCAAAGTCAAAAAATTTTAGTCAACATTTATGAATAACGTCTTGTTATTATATAAAGAAGTAATGAGTCAAATTATACAACTCACTAATATTGCTATCAGGTATTTTATTATACATGTATAGTAAATGGCGCCTTACAACTTACAAATTTAGCATGTGCAATTTTTTTTAATTGGAGAATAAATGCATTTATTAAATGAATTTACATGTATATATAAGATATTGAATATTGTATCGCATGCAAACATTACACATTGTCATTGTCACATTCTACATACAGATGTTTCATATTTTTGTAATAAAATGAAATAATAATGTAACATTTGTTTGTTTTGAGTTTTAATTTTGTGAAGGGGTGATCCCTTTATATAGATCTAAATACATGTAGGTATTTATGTAAAATTTATTATCAACGATATAGTACTCGACTTCACGGTTTGGTGGATGCTGTTTATGAGAGAGACAAGAAAAATTGCATTATCTTCCATGCCCGCTAGCACCACCTGAAGCAATATTCAATCATTATCAATTGATATTTGTATCGGTATTAGGATCACTGATTCTAGACGACCAAACATACTATACTGTGCTCCTCTTACTTCACGGTATTTAACGCTTTGAAACCAGAAAGAACTTATGGTACAAAAATTGTCATAAGCTATAACATATAGGTATTTCCTGCTGTATGACACAAGGAAACAACACTATTTTCAGTCAATGTCAATTTTAATGGACCAAACGTAGACCATATGTCCGCCATTTTGAAAACAGTAAGTCATTTAAATCGAGGTAACGGTGCATTTCAGTTTTTTCATATTTCAGTTAAAATTTCTACATGTTATTTTGCTTGATTTTAAATATTAAAATTATCCTTACGTTGCAACTCAAAATTTATTTTTTCAACAAAGAAGGACATTTAGAAAATGATGATTGTTTTAGACATACGCACAAATTTAATGGACTATTGTTGCTTTTTGCAGAAATTTGTAAAATGTTCTGTTTTACGTAAAAAATCTAGAGATTTAAGATATTTTCCACAAAGACTTTGTTGAATAGATGTATGAATAAAATATGTCAATTCTGACCAATTTTAACACTGGTCACATGAAAATATGCCATTACCGTGAAATAAGTGATGACGCGGAATTAGTGATGTTGAGTATATATATGCAGCAAATTTTACACTGAGATAAAGAAATTGGACGACCTTTAAAGTTTTACCATCACCACACAGCATTTGACATCCGCTGATACGGCGACACGAAATACCCAAATACACCTTTCAAGAAATGGCCCGAAAGTTCTACAACAATATTCTTAATTCACAGCATTCCTGAATACTGATATTTTTTAACTTATTTATGTAAAAAAGCATCCATGGACGTTTTGTTTCCCAAACAATAAATTGATTTCTCGGTATTGTCAACATGTGGAAAACCCAAAGTAATTCTTCACATGTAATGCCCTTTTCTGTAATTAAAGGCCTATTCTTATATACACAATTTACTGCATATATTTTAATTGTTTATTAATTTAAGCCGAGGCAACAGCCGTCATTTGCAGGCATTCTACAATGCCTGAAATCGCGGCAAACCACGTGTTAATTACTAAAAGGAGCGGTCAAACCTGCAAGCAATAAGATACTAGACGTTTCACGTGATTATAATGTATCGTGCGATTCCTCATCTCGCAACAAAACTCATCCTGCCACCGTTTTACTTGTCAATAGATCAAATGACCGATTATCAACAAATAAATTTTTCAATTTTCATTCACAAATCGCCAGTCATCATCTATGTAGAGAGTTCTAATGTGTGTGTGTGGAATTGTGATTCAATGCGCGAATTTTAATTGTGAAAGACTACATCATACATGTAATTATAACATGATGTCACTACTTTTATTTCACATCTTCTTCGGGAATATTTATTGATATGTAAACTTAAACCGAAAAAATAGTTCTTGCTTATCAACAACAAAAACAACAATGACAAAAAAACCCAATGAAACAGTGCGCAAGAGAACGTGTATGTAACAATCATACAGTAAAAATACAAATCTCGTAAAAACAGCACTATATTAATTTTGTATAAATATTTAAAAAATAATGCTGAAGTTCCGGATTTTAACAAGTCACTCATGTCCATCATCTTTTGAAGATATGTCTTTACAAACAACAACCTGAAAGAACAGTTTGTTTTAAATAGTTATTTATATAATAAATGATTAATGGAGAAAACATTTACGTTTAATTTGACAAGCACGCATTTATTAGTGTACATGTATTTTATTTACTTCAAAAGTTTACATCGTCTGCATTTGTTTACATATTATACACGTGGAGGACTTTAATATTTTGAAATGAATACATGTACATGTAGTTCAAATCCAAGAAAAAATATCCAACAACAAGAACAACATCCTTACTCAACCTTAGATTTTGTCGCTCCTTAACACACTATAAAGAAAAAAATAAGTTGTTCAGAGTTCAAACGGATGTAATCACTTATTAAAGTTATTTCTCATTTTGTTGTTTTTTGTTGTGCGTAACTCCAAAACAGTATAAATAGGAGAACGTTTAAGTCATTTTCACATTAAAAGATAGAGACAGCCATTACTTTACTTGGACATTTTTTGGTAATCGAATTAAACAAGGTAGGTGTTTCGTGTTTTTGATATACATTGTTTTATTTTTAAAGTTTTTAATCATTTTTTGATGGCAGTTAAGTTGTTTGATATCAAAAATATTGTTTCTATGTTAAATGATTATTTACCTTATTTATATTATTTATCAATTGTGTGTTTATTCAATATTTGTTACATTAACCATTGTTACAGGCACATCTATATTGTATATCCTCCAAAGATACTTTTGTTTCGTTTCGATAAGAATCTTAAGCAAGAGGATATATTGCTGAATACAATATTTCAAAATTTTCGTTTGCTTCCTCATATGTATATATTGTTTCTATGTTAAATAATTATTTACCTTATTTATATTATTTATCAATTCTGTGTTTATTCAATATTTGTTACATTAATATAATTATACATGTAAATAAAGAAATATAATTATCAAGATATATAGTGTTATACATAGAGGATATTCAAGTTTTGTCTATAAATACATGATTTATTTTCATCGAGTGTTATGAAAATAAATAGTTCATGAGTGGCGGTAGCCACGAGTGAAATATGGTAATTTTCATGCCACAAAATGAAAATTAATCATGTATTTATAGAAAAAACTTGAATTTTCTGTTAATTATATAAATGTTTCTATTTTTTGACATTAAAATTTGAAAGACTTTCCCGCACTGGCAGAATTTAAAAGAAAGTAGTCCGGCAAGACACCAGTGAAAATACAGAAAATATGTTTCACTGCAATGAAAAATAAATTTTTACAGTGAAAATACGGAAAATGAAAATACGCATTTAATTTATTTCATCAATATTTCTCAATATTTCATTTGTAAGTATATAATAAATGTATATACGTCTCTGTATACAAGTTACTCATTATTTATACATTTATTTATACATTTTTTTAGTCAGTGTCATTTAGTTATCATTGAAAAGAATATTTCTACTTAAGTTTGCAACCTGGGTTATTTAACTTGTTTTGTGTTGTTACCTTGATGATATATGAATGTTTTTAAATTGTTTTTTTTTTCAGGATGAAGGCTTATATACTTATTTCCTTTGTGTTATTATCCGCCATGTTGATGACGTCAGAAGGCAATCGGGTGTCAGTTAAGTGCAGAGCTGAGTGTATGGATGTCTACAACGTGTGCGCAGGTGCCTGCAAAAATGGTTTCTTTGACATGCCAGAAACTTGTGAAGGAAGGCCGTGCCGTAACACACTTCGGGACTGCTTTGTTACAAAATGCGGTTTTTCAGAACAATAGGAAAGATAGTCAATTGAATTTGTTACAGTGAATTGGAGTTCTTTGATAACTATTTTATTGACAAAATTAACAATTACATTCTCGTCAGTATTTAATAAAGTGCCAACAATTCCATTGCCATATGATTTCTGTCTAAAAAAATGTGAATAAAATGATGAAAAAAGTAACTGTGTTGTGGAGTTTCTTGTTGTTTTTGTTGTTGTTTATTACAAAGGTTTTAGAATAAAATTCAACCATACTCAAAATATTGTTAGATTAACCAATGAATAAATTTTTGACTCACTTCAAGCTAATGCTCTATTATATTTTGATCAATTTATTATTAAAGCCGTGTGTTTTTCAGCAACCCGGCATTGAACTCCAAACATTACAATGTTGGTGAATTATTGTGAATCAGCAATAATAGAAAAATAAATGCAAGGTGCTAACAAATCTAGAACAGTTAGGAGAAGATCAAAACAAATGCATTTAGTTGAAAATTGCAGACTCGATTTATAATGATATACTATTGGAGTACAGTCAAATTAGACATGCAACTATAAGCATGATTGACAATACAATGGAAACAGGTTTCAAATTTTTCCGGAATAAAGAGTAGAGATCGAGACGAGCAATATTATCGTTGATAAAACTATAACATTTTTGACCACATGAACCCTACGCTCCCTTCGCAGCTCACTGAATACACTCACGTTCAAAGTGAGCGATAGTGGAACATTCGATCGATGCGCAGGAGAGTACATGAACATATACTTTATTGTTTTATCTAAGGCAAATATTGTCATATATAAAAGTAAAACATTATTTTAACTTGAGCTATTGCTCATGTGAGTTTGTGAAAGCTGGAATACAGTCGTTGTTACAAACCTTTTCTGGCTATCTTTTTTCGTTATTCCAGAATTTGTTGTGGTTTAAAAATGTACTGTTTTACTTTTTGAGATTGTTTAAATGTTGTGTCATGAATATTTTGCTTCATTCCCTTTGTTGTCTATAGGAATCTTGTCTGTGTCAAACGACAACCTTAATTCCTGATCAAAAAAGCATTTGCAACAGAGCATAACATGTATTTGGGAATGACCAAATGGACACTAGAAATGTGGACAGAATATGGTGTTCATCTGAAGAGGGTCTCAACATGAAGTCTCTTTCATAGCAATAAAAAAATCAGCGACCAGGGCTGCACAATTAATATTATTACACATACAACGAATTCCTATCATTTGTTTGAAAATGGTATTACCATGATATCTTCTTTGGGAATATTTACACAAAATGAAAGCTTAAACCAAAAAAATAGTTCTTGCTTAACAAAAGCAACAATGACAACAAAAAACAAAAACAAAAAACCTATGAAATAGTGCACAATTGAATGTGCAATTAAACATGAAAAGAAAATGTTTGTACTAAGCACTTTTGTAATACACAAGTTTGTTTCACTTAAACTGTAATCTTCACTCGATTTTATACCACTGGTACATCTGAAGGATGTACTTTTAACGCAACATATGCAACAACCATACAGTAAAAATACACATAAATAAATGTCTCTCGTAAAAATCCCACTATATTAATTTTGTATAAATATATATTTTCTTAAAAATGCTGAAGTTCCTGGTTTTAACAAGCCACTCGTGTCCATCATCTTTTGAAGATATGACTTTAAAATCAACAACAACAACCTGACAAGAACAGTTTGTTTGTTTAAAAAAAATATATTATGAATAATTAATGGGGAAAAACCTTTATGTTTAATTTGACAATCATGCATCCATTAGTGTATATGTATTTTATTTACATGTACTTCAAAAGTTTACATCGTCCGCGTTTGTTTACGTATTATACATGTGCAGGACTTTTATTTTTCGAAATGTATACATGTAGTTCAAATCCAAGAAAAATATCCACATCCTTACTTAACATAAAGAAAAAATTAAGTTATTCATAGTTCAAACGGATGTAATCACGTATTAAAGTTATTTCTCATTTTGTTGTTTTTGTTGTGCGTAACTCCAAAACAGTATAAATAAGAGAACGGTTAAGTCATTTTCACATTAAAAGATAGAGACAGCCATTTCGTAGACTTGTGACTTTAATTGGACTTATCTGTGGTACTTACCGAATTAAACAAGGTTTTCGGTATCATTTTATTTCTAAATTTTGTCAAAACTTTTTATAACAGTTAAGTTGTTTAATATAAAAAATGATATTTTTATGAGAAAAAAATCTGATTTATCTATCATCAGTTAAGCAAACATGAGAAATAATGGGAAGGGCATGACAGAAAGGAAACTAGATGTTTAGACTGGAAATATTTGAATCAGTGTTTTATTATTAAATTATCATATTTAAATCATGTTTGTTTATTGTGTGATGTTGAAATGCTCGTTGAGCCCATAAAATGTTTTTGTTTTATTTCTCAAAAGTTTTTTTTAATGTTTATTCTTAAATTTAATGTTCTGTTATAGGTTCCGAAACTTTACTTATTGACAATACAGCTAAACCATGTTTTGACTGTTGGTCATTATAAAAGATATAGTGTTATACATGTATATAGTCAGCTTATGAGATACAATGAATTATGCAATGTAATAAAGTAGGCTGTTATTATCTCATAACAAGTTTCTCATACGTTGTTTCCTGAATCTTATCGAATTTGCTTTGTTCTTGGTGTTTTTTGTTTGTTTGCACGGGTGCGTGTGCATGTGTTTTTGTTATTGTCTTTTGCTGCTTTACTCAGTGCCATTTATTAAATGATTCAAAGTATATTTTTACTTAACTAAGATTCTTATCCTTACAGGAGCAACATTTCAAACTGTGTTATTTGACCTGTTTTGTGTTATCACAGAAATACATTAGCTTCTACAATAATGATGTATGAAGTTTTGTATTGTTTTTTTCCAGGATGAGGGCTTATATACTTATTTCCTTTCTATTAATATCCGTCATGTTGATGACGTCAGAGGGCAGTCGTAGGTCAGTTAAGTGTAAATCTAAGTGTTTGGGTGCCTACAACGTGTGCGCACGTGCCTGCAAAAAGGGTTTCTTTGACATGCCAGAAACTTGTGAAGGAAGGCCATGTCGTAAGACACTTCGGGACTGCTTTGTTACAAAATGCGGTCTTTCAAGAACATAAGGAAAGATAGTCAATTGAATTTCTCACAGTGAATTGGAGTTAATAACTATTGAACTAACTAAATTAAAAATTGCAGTCTCATCAATATACGATAAAGTGCCAAAAATTCCATTGCAATATGATTTCTGTCCATAAAAATGAATAAAATGATGATAAAAGTAACTGTGTTGTGGAGTTTATTTTGTTGTTTTTGTTGTCGTTTATTACAAAGGTTTTAAAATAAAATTCAACCATGCTCAAAATATTGTTAGATTAACCAATGAATAAACTTTTGAGTTAATGCTCTATATTAAATTTAAATAAACTATAAAAAATGTGAGTTTTTAAGCAACACTGCCTTGAACTCAAAACAGTACAATGTTGGTCTATTATTAATATTAAACCTTTATGAATGGTACTTACAAATCTAGAAAAGGTAGAAGAAGATCAAAACAAATGCATTTAGTTGAAAATTGCAGAGTCAATTTTATATACACTGTATATAATGATATTCTATTCGAGGTCAACCAAATTAGACATGCAACTGAAATTATGATTGACAATACAATTGAAACAGCTTTCATAAAGAGTAGAGATCGAGACGAGCAATATTATCATTGGTAAAACTGTAAAACAAATATGTAATTACAGGTTTATTTTTGACCATATGAACCCAAACATTGTTCTATTATCCAAGGCAAATATTGTCATGTATAAAAGTGAATCATTATTTTCAGCTTGAGCTAATGCTCAGGCGAGCTTGTAAAAGCTGGAACAGAACAGAAGGTATGCAATCGTTGTTACAAAATTGTCGTCTCAGTTTTGCAATCTAGCACTTTCACCAGGAAACAGGAATGATAATTTTTTTAAAGAGGACAAAACAATTCATCTACCCTGATACAAGACCACAACTCACCAATTGAAATTATCAGATATGTGCCTTAAAATTTGACTTTCCTACATTAAATGTCTGTTAGCATATGTCAATAAGTTAAGACAATGGCAAAAAAGAACAAGATAACACTAAATGATCTCATTTAAGCATTTAAGCAAGCATAAGAAACAGTGTCTACCTGTCTGATCTGTAATAAGTTAACCCATTACCCGATAAACGCGCCTTTTAACGCCTCCCCCCGCCTTTTTGTTGTCTCAAATGGTGAAAAATTGTCTTATTTAGGCCACCAACACTTGTTTTTGTTTGAGAAATGTTGTTTTAAAAAGTGACCACTTTTTCGGCGCTGTTCCTTATCCAAAAGATACATTAGGGGGTTGCCAGAAGTGGGATGTGCCCCCTTCATTTCCAAGAAAATTTTGGACTTGTGAGAGGCTAAAAAATGACCCCAGGTCGATCATAAGGTAACGTGTAACGAACGCTGAAAAGCCTTTGACTCTATTTCAATCCATTGAGAAGTTGCAGCACTTTGAAATCAATTTTGATGGAAAAAATCAACGCAAAATAGTGATTTTTGGCAATTTTGAGATGTCCCCTCGTTGCCATGGAAACATGAAATTTAAGACTGAGCATGTTGTTACAAGGGCAATGGTCCAGTCAATGTTTGTGCCAAGTTTGATTAGTATTGAAGCAGTTTTTATAGTTTTATACCAATTTGAACTTGTAACGGGAGACTTTTCAATGAAAACAGCCATTTTTCACAAAATGCTCATGCAGTAATGGGTTAATGCAAAAATGCAAACCATATATCATATATCACAAATGTATCTTGAGTTCATAACAACAACTAAACGGATTTCCTAATAAGTATTTCACTATATTCTTCTTCAGCTTCTCACGAAAACTTGCTCAATCAAACCGGGCCCGCAACATATTAAATTTTGCCGTTTTGGGCTTTCTTTAGGGATTCTTATTTTCTCTATTTTACAATTTGGTCTGCCCATCGTTCAAAGAAGGTTTAGTTATTCCATTATTTCTGCTTTAATATTTTTAAATTGCTGCTATACATTTAGCCAGTTTTTATCATCATCATCTTCTTCTACTTCTGCATCATTTAATACCATTTTGATTTTGATGACTTGTCTTTTTGACAATTATCTTGTTTATTTAGCACAAGATAATATTATGACTATCGTTTGAGTTTGTAATAATTTGATTTATCGCTGTTTGGAATATTTTTATCACCTGATTCTATCTGATAGATCTCTTGAACATAGTTTCTTAACTTATTTACATTCACAAAAGCTTCACCAGCTCTATGTTGATGTTGTTGTTGTTTGTTTTGGTTTGTTTGTTGTTGTTGTTGGTGGTTTTTTTTTGCATTCTGCTATGCAGTATGAGTCATATTGTCCTTTTTGTGTGTTATATTAAAATGGTCCTTCCATTTTTTTGTTGTTTGTTCATGAGACCTGGGGTCACATGAAAAAAGATTTGATACAGTCTTAGTGCCTACAGAAAGCAAAGGGAATGAAGCAAAATATTCATAACACAACTTTTAAACAATCTTAAAAATTAAAAACAGTACATTGCTAAACCTTTGGTGGATATCTTTTGAGTTGTTTAAGAAATGTGTTGTTTTTACTTTTATATTGACTTTACATAATTGTTAGAAAAACAATGATACCTGGCAGAGTTATGAAATTCTGCTTTCAGTCAAAATATTTATAATAAGAAATTTAAAGACCGTAGTGTAAAGTTATTGCCAATTATAGTTTTAAAAATGATTCCCCTTAACTGTTAATTGAAAAATTTGAACAATTAAGAGGCAACAAAAGTTTTTACAAGATGATATGAAATTTCATTTGATTAAACATTTATATATCATTCAAAAATTGTTTTAGTGAGGGGCTCATTAACATAAAAGAAATCAAAACATATTTATGGCAAAAATACACAATGAAAACGACGATTCTTTTGATAATTTTATTTCAAACATAGAAGCACATGTTTTAAGTCCAACAGAGTCAAATGCTTTAGAAGGTCAAATAAACTATCATGAAGCAACTTTAGTTTTACATAACATGAAAAATAATAAAAGTCCAGGATCTTCGGGTTTCAGCGCAGATTTTTACAAAGTTTTTTGTCGTTAGAGCTATTAATAACGCATATGAATCAGGCAAACTTTCCATAACTCAAACACAGGGAATAATTACATGTATTCCTAAAGACAATTAACCAAAAGAATTTTTAAAAAATTGGAGACCCATAACTCTTTTAAATACAGTTTATAAAATTGCTTCTGGAGTCATTGCAAATAGAATTAAAAAAAACTTTAAACAAATTAATTAGCAAAGATCAAACCGGATTTATTAAGGGTAGATATATTGGAGAAAATTCAAGACTTATATACGACATTATGCATTATACAGAAGGGAAAGATATCCCTGGTCTTCTTCTTTTAATAGATTTTGAAAAAGCTTTTGATTCTTTGTCCTGGTCATTTGTTCAAAAAACATTGTCTTATTTTAATTTTGGAATTTCTATTAAACGATGGTTTAATATTTTTTTATAAAGACGCACAGTCTGTTGTAAGTCAATGTGGATTTCTGTCAAATTTTGTAACAATAGGTAGAGGCTGCAGACAAGGAGACCCGCTTTCTTGTTACATCTTTATTTTATGTGCTGAAATTCTCTCTCTTAAGATAAGAAACTGTAAAGAAATAAAAGGTATAAAGATTAATAATTTAGAACATAAATTATCTCAATTTGCGGATGATACAACTTTAATATTGGACGGGTCAAGCAATTCCTTAAATCAGGCACTTGATGTGTTATCGAAATTTGCTCATATATCTGGACTAAATGTAAACTTTGATAAAACAAAAGTAATTTGGATAGGAAAAAATAAATACTCATCAAATAGTATAAAAACGTGATGGAAATTATCATGGAACCAACATAATTTCAAAATGCTGGCATTATTTTTTATGTAAATTTGAAACAAATGATACATATAAACTATGAAGATAAATTAATTAAGATTCAAAATTTAATAAATCATTGGAAAAGGAGAATTCTCACTCCAATAGATCAAAACGCTTTTAATTTCAATTTTAAACCATCTATTTATAGCCCTAACGTCACCACCTCAGAACATGATAAATAAACTTAATAATATGTTTTATGATTTTATATGGCAAGGAAACGTTAAAATAAAAAATACTGTTATGGTCAAGGACTATTCAGAGGGAGGTTTAAAAATGTTAAACTTAAATGCTTTTATAATGGCTTTAAAGATAAGCTGGTTCAAAAGAATGATTAGCGATGCCTGTTGGAAAAACATTATTATAAATGAATTTGATATGCAAAAATTATTTCACTGTGGAAAACATTACATAGATAAAATTGCAAAAAGCATTTCAAACGTTTTTTCGAAGGACACTTTTAATGCTTTTTCTACATATATAGATAAGTATCCTATAAATAACGAATCCTTCGCAGAACTACCATTGTTTTATAACAATAAATTACTAATTGGCAATAAAAGTATATTTCTTAATTCATGGTTTAAAGCCGTAATATCGGAGATATGTTTGATTCTTACGGTGCTTTTCTTTTAATAATATATTCAGGCTTAATGCAAACTTTTTAATCTTTCATGGAATTAAAAAAATGATAAATGAAATGATGACAAAATTTAATTTTGGTATGAATGACGTAAAAAAAACTTGTGGACCAAAATTGCCTCCTTATCTAAAAAACATAATTATTAACAATGAAGGATCAAAACAGACTTACAATTTATTGAATACTAATAACACACAATCAACAAGTAAAGCAACCGGATGAAAAAGCTTGATCTTCATTTTGAGGAAAGTAAATGGAAAGAAATTTATGAAATGCCATTTAAAATAACAAAAGATTTTAGGATACAGTGGTTTCAAATTAGGATTCTTCATAGAATAATTGGCACTAAGTATTATTTACATAAAATTAAATATAATGATAATCCTCTTTGTACCTTTTGTAAAAATGAAAACGAAACTATCGAACATTTGTTTTGGCAATGTAGTTTTGTAAAGGACATCATTGATATCTATTTCAAAACAAAAAAGAATATTTTCCCGTCATTAACTGCAGACGAAATGATTTTTGGCTTAACATATGAAAGTCCTTTATCAAAAACTAAAAATCTAATTTTAATTTACTTTAAGATGTATTTTTATCAATGTAGAATGCAAAAGAGTATTCCCACAGTTGTTGGAGCTAAAAAATATATATAACATATTGTTACAACGTTGAAAAAGAGACTGCAATGATAAATAACAATGTTGAAACCTTTAATTCCGCGTGGAATTCTTATCTAAGTTTCCTTTATGCAGATTAACACAATTTTTTTTTCTTCTTCTTATAATTATTATTACTATTATTATTATTATTACTATTATTATTATTATTATTCTCTACATATATGCAGACTTAAACGTTTAGGCTGTATTGACCTATCCAAAAACTACACATCAAACTATTATATTTGTACCCCGCTTAAAATGGCTTTAGAGATAAGTAAATGACTGAAAAGATGAATAGATATGACCAATAACAATTTCAAAAGCGCAGACTGCAGTGAGAGAGTGCAGATGAATGAGTGTAGTATGTAAAATGAATTATTTTTCTTTTATGATATGTTCTGTTTTCTACTTTGAATCGATTTATAGTTGTATGTTAATATACCCATGCTGTAAATACAATGTTTATATATTTTGATCAATAATAAAAAAAAAAAATAATAATAATAAAAAAAATACGTTGAAGAGTTGAATACGTAAAAATATAATTTACTGAATTTTCCTGTTAAAATTCTGAAAAATAAAATTACAAACTATGTATAAAAATAATGACATGAATATGTAAATAAATGAAGACTTTACAAAAAAAAATAAAAACATAAAAGAAATCATTAATCTACATATACTACATTGTATTTTCCCAGCACGCACATCGGTATTATATATCAGAATAGTGAAAACGAGTTTATATATTAAAACATGACAACAAAGATCAATAAGAAAAGGCGTTATTCAATCAGAGGCACGCCCCCCCCCCCCACACCGACAAGGAGCCCAGCAGGGCACCAACAAAAACAGAAGGGCGTGAGGGATATTGCATGTTTTAATTATCCCTCAATCAGACCGAGTCTGCAATTTTCATGTTATTTTGTTGTTATTATAGCTTCCAAGGGATCACTCTTCCAGATTTTTATACTTTCAGCAGCAGATGTCAGCTATAAAAAGTTGCCCCAAACTTCACTTCAATGTTGTTGTATTTTTCTTGTCCTTTTTGTCCTTCTGGATCATTGATTGCAACAATTTTAAGTGTTGATAATTGAGGGCATACAAGATGTTGCACGTTTAGATTATCCCTCATCTACACATTCAATCAAACAGAGTCTGCAATTTTCATGTGATTTTATTGTGATTAATGCTTCCGAGGGATCACCCCTTTTCCAGATTTGTATGTTAAACATTTTTGAGTGGGCAAAAACAATATTTTATGAGGATTTCAATTTTCTTGAATTTGTTACCGTTGTAGATCAAAATTGCTCATACAGCAGTGTTTGCTGTTAATTGCGAATTCATATTTTGAAATACCTCAATCTTTAACTTAATTTTAAGTGGCAACAATACTTTAAAAAAGGAAGAAAGCCATTGTTAGACAATTTAGTTATTTCATATCATGTCTATCAGTAACTTTAAACAATATTCTGTGCTTATTATAATTCTGACTATTGTAGTCTTAATCTGAACTGTGATTTTATTTATTTATTTATTTTTTAATAAATTTATCCAATGTCTCATCTGATTTCAGTCATTAACTAAATTTATTTAATTTATTATTTATATGAAATGATATTTCAATTTGTTAAACTGTCATTTGATATATAGAGGATATTCAAGTTTTTTCTATAAATACATGATTTATTTTCATCGAGTGGTATGAAAATAAATATTTCAAGAGTGGCGGTAGCCACGAGTGAAATATGGTAATTTTCATGCCACAAGATGAAAATAAATCATGTATTTATAGAAAAAACTTGAATTTTCTGTTTATTATATACATTTTTCTCTTTTTTGACATTACAATTTGAAAAACTTTCCCACTTACAAACTTGCTTGCATGATTTCAGTCGGCCATATTCCCTAGCCATGAAAGATAACTCCCTGTTTCCCTGTCTAAAATTCCACCAAATTATTCCCCTTTCAATTGAACTCGAAGAAGGGACCTTTTAAAAAGACTTTGTATTTATTTATTCGATTTTTTGTTAAGAAGCGGACAATTTTTTCTTTACCTTTGTATAATTTGCTTTCTATCTATATATGGTTCCTATGGTAAACATATGAGTTTTGATGGTAAACAAATGAATTTTCTGAACCGAAAGTAATCTAACACACAGCGTTGCTGTCATCACATAAAAACAATACCATTAAATCGGTAAGCATATTGAGATATTTGTTTGACTATCAGTTTCAAATGCAAAATATTAATATGGAAAACAATTATGTGTAGTTTATGTGTATTGTTTTAATGTGTTTGTCTGATATTTTAGTTGTAAAAGCCATGTACACTTAGTGTCGCTGTTTAAAACGTGAGCGGTAACTGAACGAGATATGGCAAAGCGCATGCTCGCGCACTGACTTCCGCTCTATCGAAATACTGCATGAACATATAGCGAAAGTTCGTAAGTGTTTCCCTTAAATTTTGTGCACTGGCAGAATTTAAAAGAAAGTAGTCTGGCAAGACACCAGTGAAAATACGGAAAATATGTTTCACAGCAGTGAAAAATAAATTTTTACAGTGAAAATACGGAAAATGAAAATACGCATTTTATTTCATCAATATTTCTCAATATTTTATTTATAAGTATGTAATAAATCTTATTATGTAACTGTGATCTATGTTGTTGCAAAAATAAAAATAAATAAATAAAAATATTGCCCACATGACAATGTAAATAGTAAAACATTTAGCGGTGTTCATAGTCGTTCCCGCAATTTAGTTCATCGACAGATGTTGCAAAATTAGGCCTTTGAAGAAATTAAAAATTCGCCAACATGCCGAAGAAAAAAACCGGCCAGAGAAAGAAGGCTGAAAAACAAAAGGAAAGACAGAGGGATATAAGAAAATCACACAATGAGCGTCCGATAGTTGAACGGCCTTGCAACTTTTTAATGGTATGTACTCAAAAATTGTGAACGTCAAATATTGAAGTGCTACCAATTCGGATATTATTATTTCGGATACTGGAACCTTAAAAAATCCTCAGGTGGTGACCGGGTTTTGAACTCTGGACCTCTCGGTTACAAGGGGGACAATCAACCACGTTGCTAAAGGGCTAACCCAACAGCAAAGCTGTTGGAAATGGCATACACCTAATATCAATACACTTCTCCACAGGGGGCCCACACAGTGTGAATGTCAGACGTTTCACTCCCAAGACATTTCACTATTGAGACGTTTCACTCCCAGGACGGTTCACACCTAGACGTTTCACTCCCATTTTGTCAATTGTATGGACGTTTCACTCCCGTTTTTTATATGTTTTTATTAAGAAAATTTATTTTCATTATGAAGGGGAAATTCAATTTAATGGTTCATTTTGTTGAATTTGAGAGTATCGTTAAGAAGAATTTATGAATTTGAAGAATGATTATAAAAGTATAGTTTTTCTGAAATATAAGAGAAAATGTAAATAATTATGATCTATACTGTAATAAGTATAGTATCAGCTCAGAAAAGTGAATTTTGTTCCATTTAATTTTTAAACAGTGTTTTGAAGAATTCCTGTTAATTATTATGAGTAAAATTGTTGGTTTCAATGAGGACATAATTATGATGAATTATTAGAAGATTATCATTATACTCATTTAAATATGGTTTGAATGATAAGAGGTATAAATGAAAGACAAATGTCTGAAATATCGTTTTTATTATAAGAGTAACAACATAATAAAAATTCTATTTATAAAAAATCAAGAAAGATAATAGAATAACAAAATGAAAATGTTCATGAACAACAAAGACACATTGTAAGTACCAGTTTGAATATTGAAACCACTATCAGTACAGTAATTAAATAATATCAATATATGAAATATATTTATTAGTTTTTTTTTGTAAATATATTTATCAATGAAATGCAGAAAATGTGCATAAAATTAATTATTCTTTTAAATTATTTCTTTATCAATTTATTGAACAGTAGCCATTAAACAAACTTAGGTAATTATGGTGTTAACAGTAATCTCATCACCTAATTAGTTGTATAAACACTGAGACCATCAATTAACAGTTGACATCACTATTAAATTAGTTGTATAAACATTGCACTTTAGCATCAACAGTTATTAATTAGTTGTTTATTGGACCATTGAAATATTTTTAGACAATGTTCAGCCAATTAAAACCAAAGTCATGGAAACAGAAACTCCTCCGTAAGTTTTGGTTATAAATTATAACAAAAATAAAATAATATTTAATCAGATAATCATAATTAATGTAAAATGTAAGATTATCTACAGATTTTTTTACTTATTGATATAAAAATATACTTAATGCATAGAAAATCACTTATTAATTATTTTCATTAACATCTTAAGAGAACTGCAACTTTCATACAATTAAATCCGGTCATATATAATATCCTTCCCTAAATAAGAATAAATATCTGAAAAGATATTAGATCAAAGATCTCTCTTATAAAGTAAAAAATAAAAAAATAAAACTTTAACAATTATGACATACAAACTTTCATTTTTTAGTAAAATTAAGGTCCATTTGTAGTATATCATACATATCAAAATAATTTTGGTATAAAATGGGAGTGAAATGTCTTCAAGACGTTTCACTCCCATTTGGGAGTGAAACGTCTTGGTGTGAACCGTCTTGGTGTGAACTGTCTCAATAGTGAAACGTCTGTCTACCCACAGTGTTTGGATGGTATATACTGCTTGATAGTGACCTTAAAATGAGATTTTAGTCATAACCTTATAATATGTATATATATATAGACAAGGGGCATTACTCGCTAAATACAGAATTTTCGATCACCCTCAAATTCATGCGAGATTTTCCACTAATTAAATAAAAAAATTCAAAAAACCATACTGCGTCGCATAGCTTATATAATCCACAATTGATATACACTAACTCTTTTCTGATTCCCTTAGCCCATTTTAAGAAATTTATTCAAAACCGTTCACTTCTGTCACAAAATTGCTTAGTGGTACGAAATCTTCAAATCAGAGCAGAAATCTGCTTCGACGTAGACATCCTGGGGAAACCCCGGTCACGTGACCAGCCGGTGTATCGAGACCTTTCATTGGTTTGGTAGGAACTTTGTTTATAACGACAACCAATGAAAGGTTTCCATACACCATGACCAGAATTTCCAACATGTATTCGTCGAAGCAGATTTCTGCACTGATTTGAAGATTTCGTTCGAAACAGACGAATATAGAGCGCTTCACGATTATTTGCGCAGGTAGGTAATAGAAACAATGTTGTGTTATTGTTTTCATGCGTTTATTTGTACCTACCCCTTCTAAAATTGATATTTTACCCGTGGAATTTGGTGTTGCGACATCTCGTACCACTAAGCAATTTTGTGACAGAAGTGAACGGTTTTGAATAAATTTCTTAAAATGGGCTAAGGGAATCAGAAAAGAGTTAGTGTTTATCAATTGTGGATTATATAAGCTATGCAACGCAGTATAGTTTTTTGAATTTTTTTATTTAATTAGTGGAAAATCTCGCATGAATTTGAGGGTGATTGAAAATTCTGTATTTAGCGAGTAATGCCCCTTGTCTATATTTATATACATATTATAAGGTTATGACTAAAATCTCATTTTAAGGTCACTATCAAGCAGTATATACCATCCAAACACTGTGTGGGCCCCCTGTGCACTTCTCCCCACTTTATTTTTGAAAGGCAAACCTAAACAGTGCATACCTTTAAATACAAAGTCTGAATCCTCAGCACTGTCTTAGAGCGAATACCTTACGCCCAAGCTAAACGTGTTTACCTATAAAGTTCCCTGTAGAGGACAGTCACATGCTAGATGCACAGTCCCATCTTTCTGTCTGTATTAATTGATTGCTTGTCAATTCTTTATGACTGCAAATGAAACACTAAGCATTTTCATTATTTTTTTTTACCTCGTCACCATTATTGTGTGCCTGAAAAATCCTCAGGTGGTGACCTGGTTTTGAACTCGGGACCTCTCGATTACAAGGCAGACATTCAACCACGCCACTAAAGGGTTAGTGGACACTCAACCACGTCGTTACAGTGTTAACCCATTAGCAATGTGGTTGAGTGTTTGCTTTGAAAACGAGAGGTCCTGAGTTCAAAACCGGGTTACCACCGGAGGATTTTTCAGGTGTACAATACTCATCACGCTAGAATGTTGTTGTTGAGTGACTGATGTAATGCTTTAAGCCTTTATTAGATTTTCGTTAAATTTAAATCGGATATTTGAATTAGTTTGAATTTGTAGTATATATTTATCTTTATCTTGTAGTTCAATCAGATACTCTGTTCCAGTGATAGCACAGGATCTACATCTACATGATACTGCTTAACAATCAATTCTGATTATGACTAGCAATGAACATTGTCCAACAATATGGCCAATAACACGTTTGTGTAACAATTTTGCTAAATGTACTTTAATTGTAAATAGAAAAAAGCTGTGCAAATTATCCTACCCCAAAAATGACAAAAACCTTAAGCCTTGAAGAGACATGTTTATGTAAGGTCATAAGCTGGAACATAAAAAGTAATTTTAAATGCAGAAAGTACTGCAAATTTTGAACCAGGGTTGTGTTTTCTAATTTACTTATTTTAATAAATAGTTTCAAAGTTTTAAATAAATGTACATGTTAAATTGGTTTAAATCTTCAGGAATGTGAGCAGTGTGGGAAATCACAGAAGAATCGAGCTTTCTGTTATTTTTGTAACTCTTTACAAAGACTGCCTGTATGTGGAGCATGTGGTAAGAACTAAAATATGATATTTAATATCACTTTATACTATAAAGATATTTAACATATACTGTTCACACATGGCCAGATAACCAGTCTAAAGTCTATATAACCAATTTATAGTGCTGTGTAATTGTTTCCCTTGATCAGAATGGAAATGAATAAAAAATTGTGAGTTTTAGCAGCCATGTATATACATGTAAGTAATATAAACTTTCTGATTGTCCAATTAAAATTGACATAACAAACATACTGTAACAGTGCTATAATGTATATTATAGATTATTAAAAGGGCCTCCATGGCCATGTGGTAACATCCAGGGCCACTGACATTTTTACATGACCTCTGTGAATTTGAATTTGACCGGGCTTCTTTGAGTCATTTAAAGTTAGAAACTATCACTCTAGCTTCAGAGAGGTTGATGGTTCAGGAACTTTCATTTGGCAAAATGCAAAGTTGGGTACTTAGAGGTCTTCCAACATAACTTGAAAGTTGACATTTGTCAGTGTGTATTATGCCTTCACATTTCACTACTGTTGATATATATTTTCATATTGCAACTCATTTAATGCTGTATTCGGTGCATAGTTGTAGGAACCTACTCTAGTGTCAAACACAATTCTCACATATTACATAGTCGTAGAAGAATTCCTAAGTTGAAGTGATAGAAACAGATGTAATGTTCATTATTTGACTAATACAGGGAAACAGAAGTGTATGATGAAGACAGGGGATTGTGTGATTAGACATCCAGGACAGTACACTACAGGAATGGCTATGGTTGTACGTATATATGACAAGTTTATCTGTACCAACACATTTTTATGTTAATAGTATACCCCCTGTTTACCCACCATTTCTTCTTAAACAGTTTGATTTTGATGAAGTTATTTTGTTTGAATACCTATTTTATGTAACTTGTAAAACTTGAGTAATTTCTAATGAATTTCTGTTATTAATATCGTGATTGGCTGGACAACAAGGCCAATAAGTTAGCATTACAAATTTTAAACATCTTGTCACATACTGTTCAGAGTTCAGATTTATAAGAGAAATTCTTTTACTCAGACAGTCCCATTAAAACATATCTGGGCATTTTTCAAAACTGAAAATGTAGATGCATTGATATAGCTTTAAAACTCAATCCTGCTTTAAGGTTGTCTGCAATTTGAAAGGTAGCCTTTAAGATATGAACAAGTTGAAAATGAACATTTCTGCTATTTTCATATATTCAGATTTCTATACCGTATATGATTTTGTTTCATTATATTTAGGGTGCTATATGTGATTTCTGCGAAGCGTGGATCTGTCATGGAAGGAAATGTTTAACAACTCATGCATGTACCTGTCCATTAATGGATGCAGTGTGTAAGGAATGTCAGAGAAGTGTAGAAAATCAAGGTATATTCCTATATTACCGTAGTTACGAGCTAGCTGGACAATCCTTGGTACTACCCAGGGTTCAAGGTTGAAAAGACATTCTTTAAGGTATTCGGGTATTTGATTGGTCAGAAAATGTTAAAAAATGTTTAGTGATCAACTGAGATTTAAGACAGATCTTGGAGAAAAAAGTTTAACCTCAAGGCCAGGTATCACACTAAACCTGAAATCTGCGACTCATTTTTCATAAGTGTAACATATTGAAGAGTTTTAATTATTGAACAGTTCCTACATTTATTAGTATGCTAGTATCTACTTATTATCTTTTTATGCTACTTTAGTATTTTACACAAGAACTTTACTTTTTTTACTAACAGAAGGGAGGTTATTCTGCAGGTGCCTGCTTGTGCCTGAAATAGTGCTTAGAGAGTCATTTGAGGTCTTCCCCTGACCTAATGGGCTGAACTGAGATTTTATGACTTCAGAAACTATTCAAGACCTCTCTAGAGCCTGAAACATTGCTCATGAACCTATGATTTCAACTTTCAATTTGTGTTTTTACATTTAATGTTAATGAACCCAAAGCATTGATTGAATCAGAATGTTATAAAGTCTTACATTTTAACATTATGGTACCGTCTGTTCTGTTTTAAACCTTTATCTTGCTAAAACAAAGCCTTTGCCATCAGTACCAGTGCAGTCTGGTCTGTCTATAGAGTAATTTTTAGTTTGACTAGTCCAAGAATAGGGAGAGCAGTTGTACTCACCTAGGTGTCAGCGGCACAGTTTGGTTAATTTTCTGTGTGCAAGTTGGTATCTCCAAAACTACTGAAGAGAAGCGAATGAATGGAAAGTTTACACACCTCTTTGAAAGCATAAAAGGAGGTCACTGTTAAAGGCCCATACTTCTAACATGGATTTTGAAAGAATTTTCACTTTTTTTGTACTTAGATAAATTCCACATTATCCAGGTTTTTGCTCCACTGTCAAGGCCTTAGAATAGTCGAGCACACTGTCCTACTGACAGCTATTGTTGAATTTTGATATTGTAATCCCTCAAACTTGGAATGGACTGTTTCAAAATAGTAGCAGGGCAAATTCATTACATAATTTCAGCAGGTTATATATATATACATAATTATAAGATATGCATATAATAACATGTAATAATATTGATCTTTTCAGGTGGCAGATTTTTCAGGTGTTCATTCTGTTGGAATTTCCTGTGTGAAGATGATCAGTTTGAACATCAGGCTAGTTGTCAACAACTTGAGTCTGACTCGTATAAATGTACGTACATTTTGTTTTCTGTTTCTCTGTCAACCCTTACAACAGCTACAGTCCCAACAACTTCATCGAAAAATGTTTTCAGTCACTTGTCCTGCGGGATGAGTAGCTTCTTAATCCAATTTGCAGACAACATTTACTGGTAATTACGAACAGACAAGTTGAATTTTCGATCTCTGAACTTATTGTCACTTGTAAAGCAATAAATTAACATTTTCATACTATAAGCAAGAGCTGAAATATTGGCATGATTCCTCCCTCTTAAATTCAAAATTGATAAGTTCTGGAAATATCTCAGTAAATTTTATAACATTCAGATATGTTATATCATTATCAACAGATTAAGAATGGCAGTATTTGTGTTCCATTACATTCTAAGTCTTTATTACATGTTTGAAAAAGGATATTGCTTGGTTCAGAATTATCTTACATTATCTTACTGGTACATTATGTTATGCAGTGATCTTTGTTTGTTTAAACCTTACCACACTAAATATCTTAAATGGACTTGTCCATCTTTCAAATTTTGTTGAAACCATTATTCTCTATTGGTGAAAATTTCGAAAGCTGTGCAGTACAGATTACATGGAATATGTAAAATCCTTGAAGTATCGATGAATCACAAAGTAGTGACTACATAGCAAACAGCGCAGAGTCTATAACCATAATTATGTGCCGGCACATCTGATCAGGGTCTGCACTGTTCCCTATGTAGTCACTACTTTGTGATTCCTTGATATTCCGCTTGCTTGTCGCAACTGATTCTACCCAGTGCAGACCACCATTAGCCCGCTTGAATCAGTTGCCACTAACAAGCTAAGAGATGAGGAATTTTTTAATAGATATTAATCTTTATTTGCATGTTGACATACATGTATTATTTATGGCCAGTTATTTATATTTTGTGTTTTGACTACAGGTGGCTCCTGCAATAAACTAGGCCAGTGGTCTTGTCTTAGATGTAAGGTAAGTCTATCTTTATTTTAATGTATCCTAGTAAACTTATTTCAGACAACACTTGACAATTTCAACAATTTTACCGACATGTCTTTAATCAGGAAAAGAAATAATCAATTAGTATAATACAATTGATTTAATTCCTAAAAAATTTTCCTGATGAAAAACTGGACATCTTCAACATCTGAAGTACATCCATATATCAATTTATTCCATATTTTACATGATGCATTCATCAGAATTTGTGTTGTGAATGTGTTGTTTATATATTCATACATGTATGTGTGGCATAAACATGAAAATTATACTGATGATTAGCCTATTTAAGAGGAAAAATGATTCCTTTGGTTTTGTTCAGGCATGTCTTGACCAGGTAAAGTTATAATGAAATGATAATAAGAAAAAAGTCTTATTTTGATGGAATGTATAGCTATTGTATTATGAGTCATGCTGTATGGCTATCATAGTTGTATGTGTAAAGTTGTACTGTGGTCTCGTGAGATTACAACTTTACACAACTTAAGGTATACAGCCCATATTCTGTGGTGGTATTTGTAGTTTTCACTCCGGTTCACGACAGTAAGCCACATTGAATTTACCGGAGCTCAATTTAGCCACCGCATCGTTCCTTGGCAGGCTGTCCAGCAGTTTACCATTACTTTCACTAGAAACTGATAACTTTAGTACATGCCAGAGCAGAGGTACAGTGGGAATGACCGTAGAAAGAATTTCATTATCTCATTATCAATCACAACGAAAGTGACCTTCACCATCCGGGAATCAAACCCGGGTAGCCCAATTCAAGTCCAGAGTTCTATCTTTTGAGCTAACGTTGGCTTCCATGTAATATTCCTAACATATACCTGCTGATATTCTGTCTTGTATAATAATGATAATGTATGTTTTCACTTTTCATTTACAGATATGTTTCTGTGATGATCATGTTAAAAGGAAGGGATTTAAATATGCTCGTGGAGCGGCATATCCCTGTCCTAAATGTGGCCATGATACACGAGAGACCAAAGAATTAGCTATGACAGGTGTGTTACAATTTACTGACTGATTTCTTGTTGTAGCATCAATGTACGTTGTGTCAGAACAAACCGAGGCTGTTAAGTCGGTCAGTTATAAAAACAGGCAAAAGTAATCAAGTCTCTATAAATGTAAATACTCAAAATTGAATGGTCGTAAGTGGAGAAGCTCTGAGTAGTCCTAAAAAACTAGCTTATTACGGTACTGAATAAATAGTTCGGTCCAAACACAATGCTTAGAACTTTTCTGTTGATCGCTATGACACATCATTCTGTTGTTTATGGAAAAGTGTTAAAAAAATATCAAAGAAATATACTCAGAATTGTTTTACATTGACAGGACATTGATTAAATGTTTGAAATATATTTAATATTTATCAGCTCGTACATACGACTTTGGTAGGAAAGGTGTTAACGAGGGTGCTGCGAAGGGATACACTTATGACGATGATTATCAGGATGAATATTCCTACAACTTTGGACAAGAAGAATATAAATTTACAGGATTTGGTGGCGTCTCCTATGAAGGTAGGGAGAAAAAAAAAAGATGTAGCTTTTTCTTCTCTTTTTTCCTTTGAATGTCAACATATAGTAAAATAAATATTCTAAACATGGGACCTCCTTATTATGGAGTGGTTAAAGGTATTACCCCCTTTACAATGTAATGTTGTTGCAATGGTTTGAAATTACAGCAGGATAAAAGTGCCAAAATTATTAATAAGCTTGTATTTATTGAAACAAAAATATATCAATATAATCTACATTTAGGGAACATTGGTGGTTCTACTCCGGTACCCGTTCATGCCTGAAATAATGCAGGAAATTGCACCCGAGATCTTCCTCCACAAGTAAGCTGTTAATTCGCCACATGACCTATACTATGTTGGTGCGATGTTAAATCCAACAAAAAAAAAAAAACGATGTTTATTTTCATGTAAATGATAAAATCTGTTCTGTACTTTATATCTTTTAATAACATTAGATCAAACCATTTTTTTTTGGGTTAGTAGCTTTAAGTTTCATTATATGAGGAGTGGCTTGCCTCTTACCATGTGATTTGGAGGTATCAAGGAGTATTGAATGAAATGCAGCTTTACTGTTTAATTCCTTTAATAAAGTCACCATAGTTACACGAGATAGTCACATACCCGTGCTACTTTTACGATTCCATAAATACGGTATTGCACAGCCGTGCACATATTTTGATGTGACGTCATTTGGGTCATACAAACATACTCATAGTGTAAAAACGTGCTAAATGTCAGCATTACACTATAGGCACATCAATGAAAATGATTCTTTTACAGTTTCAACAGACTTTAATTTGGGTATGTGATAAATAGAATATCATATTTGCGTAGGGTTCATTACTGAATTTATTGAAGTCATTGAATAAAATAATTATTTAACTAGTTCAATAAATCCAGTATTGAACCAACACTTACTTCAATATCATCTATATCTTTGGTGTTTGTTTTGTTTGACAGGTGGTGACTATTCCGATGACGATGATGAAGATTATGAGGATTCGGATGAAGAGTCTGAAGAAGACGATGATGAAGATGAGGAGGACTCAAAGGAAGGCGAGAAACCCAAAGATGAAGATGTGGCAAAAAGTACAGAAAAACTCAAAATATGATGAAAGCAGTTACTTTAGAAATTTCAGCAAACCTTATTTAAAATTCAATTTATTGTTTGGAATTCAATGAAATACTATTTAAAAACCATCTTAGAAACAATTTGTTCTTATTTATTTTATTTAAGACAATGATGATTTATTCTTTTGCATGTAAATTTGTATAATTTCTTTCCTGTTAATGTGGAAATATTTATTGGTATGTATGACAACAATTTAATTAAGGATGCTTTATTTCATGTTGTTTATGTAAGAGCTGTTAATATATATATTCTAAATAAAGTTGAAATTGGTAGACACTTTTGACTTGTCTATACTAATGGAGAAACTTGTTGACGTCCCTACTTTTTGTAGTGTTGTCAATAGTACTTTATACATGTTATTATTTCAGAGTCCTTGGCTGGGTTGTTAAGGTTGTGAGCTTTAAATCATTTGTCCCTAACTGGTATGGGTTCGAATCTCATAAGGGACTTTTGATTCTTTCATGAGAGGAAGGGACGAAGCTAGCTTATGGAATGTCTGGTTCTACTTAGGTGCCTAGTTGTGACTGAAATAATGCATAATAATAAGGTCTTCCTCCATGAGTAAAACTGGAAAGTCACCCAAGACCTATGCTTTGTTGGTGCAATGTAAAACCAAAACACATTTCAGAGTCTGCTTCCTGGAACTTAGTTGCTGGTGTCATATGATGAAACATGTTCATTTACTGTTTACTGGTGTCACATGATGACATGTGTTCTTTAACTGGTGTCATATGATGAAATATGTTCATTAACTGGTGTCATGATAAAATATGGCCATTTACAGGTGGCACATGATGAAATGTGTTCATTTACAGGTGTCATATGATGAAATATGTTCATTTACTGGTGTAATGAAATGTGTTCATAAACTGGTGTCACATGATGAAATTGGTTCATTAAAAGGTGTCGTATGATGAAATATATTCATTTACTTGTGTCGTATGATGAAACATGTTCATTTACTGGTGTCATGATGAAACATGTTCATTAACTGGTGTCATTTGATGAAATATGTTCATTTACTGATGCCATATAATGAATTATGGTCATTTTCTTGCCACAAATTATATTTATTTCGGAGTAACTTTAAATGCTAACAATTCCTTGAGACACTCTTTGGTAATTTAAATTCCTGTTGGGGACTACTTGAAACAACAAAACAAAACTGTGTTTTTCATTTTATTAGGAAAATAATTTTTTCTTATTACACTTTTGACATGGCTCGAGAAACTTAAAATGTTTAAAGCAATATGAACAGTTTTAATGGATAACCCATTAAATAAAATAATAAAAGTTCTCATATTAGATTGATAATCTATGATTTCTTGCTTCATTCTTCTGATATTCCAACTCGTAGTGTTTGTACAGTGTTGATCTCCTTGTCTTGTCCATGGTCTAATATAGCTGTAAAGTAGACAAAACATGATCGAACTTACCTTTAAAAAATAGACCAACATTATGTTCAACAACAATAGTTCAGCCAACACATGTAAATTACTTTATCAAGTATAATGCATTAAAAGTAATTATCGATCACTTATGAAAATGACATAGAAACTCTGATAAATGCAAGTAAATTCACACATTAGTAAGCAACATTCAAGGAATTTCACTCCCGATTTTTGAAAATATTGTAAAAGAACTTTATCACGTAACATGTACCGTATTACTGCAGAAAAATATTTTAAAAATCCAAATCTTGTCTTCATACTACTGTTTTGTTATTTTTATTCTGGGGAGAATTTCAACAAAAAAAAATTTATTGTACAATGTACATGAATTCTAAAGTTGAACAGAATAAAATGCTTTCAAACTTAATATTCAACAGATAATAATTATATGACCTCATTCCAAGACATGGGGGTAGAATGCTCTTTTGCAAGTTTACCGTCAGTTTATAGATTAAACACTGAATATTCATACCTTTAACATGGTTCCATGCTCGAGTCTTTTGTTGCTGGTTCCCACATGTTTGAACTACATGTACATTTAATTACAATCATAGAATCTTCTGTCTAGTTAATTATTTTACATCACAAATGTGTTGGGTACCGAGTTTACATGTGCTGGTACCGTCTTTGAAAGCAAATGTTAACATTTTTATTTCAGAATTGCTCAAAATTAGTTTCATCTTAAAAGGCACCCATGTCCTAATATTTTAAATCACTACTCTAAAAATGGTTAACAAATTTCAAATTATTTTTTCTTTAAATTACACAAAAGACGGTACCCAGCTTTCAGATCTTTTATCCCTTTTCTCCCTGTCAATATAGGGTTTTCTCGCAGTAAACTTTGGTTTTTCACCTTCTACCAAGTTGGATAATGATCTCTCCATCGATGATCTATTATTTGGAATTCTTTCAGTGAGATCTGTTGATTGAGGTCTAGAATTTCTATGTGTTGGTAGTGAACAGTTTTGTAGGTAAGTGAATGGATAATTTTGCGTCCCTGGATCAGGGTGAACATAGTGACTATTGTAATATTTGTTGGGCTGAGAGCACTGCTTAAACTGTGATCCACTACCACTGTATGATAAGTGAGGATCTCTGTCATCTGAAATAGCAAGAGTAAAAGATTATCTTAACATTATTAAACCAGCTGTAAAATTATCAAAATAACATTTCCCCCCTCTCCATGACTGAGTGTTTATGGTTGGTAACTTCAAACCACTTGCACCCAACAAGCTGTGGGTTCGAATCCTGAGCTTGTGGAATGTGAAAGATTCTACTCAGTGCCTGTTTGTGCCTTAAATAATGCACAGAGTGGCACCTGAGATCTACCTTCACCAGTTAAACTGGAAAGTCGACCATATGACATATGAAAAAAAAATCTCCCTACTCCCTCCCTTGGCATCAAATTACTCTAAATATTTTTTTAGGAACAACACTGTAAAGGTCCTTATTCAACTTTCCAGCTTTTACTTGGAATCAATTGGAAATAAAACATGTCTCCTGATACCATTTAAAGAGTAGCGCATATTTATGACAAAAACAGAGAGGAAATTAGGAGGAAATAAAGTGGTTTCCTTAGATATCTTATGATTCTTAAGAGTTCTTTGTTTGTAAATTTCGAATAACAATGACATGAAGCAATTAACATTAAGAAAATAAAACAGGCATTCATCTTGAAAAGGCAAAAGGGAGACAAGTCAATTGAGTTTCAGGAGAGTTCAAGCTTCAGTCTTGTTGATTTGCTTTTCTTTAAAAATTTTTTAGTATAGTTTAACAAGCTAAATTACTCAATTTAAGCTTCTGACCAACACATGGTATTTACTTGTGATTTCTAAAATGACTTGGCTAGGCTGATCATCAACATATCTGTTTACAGTTTAACCTTTTACCCCATGAGCATATTGCGAAAAATGGCCGTTTTCATTGAAAAGCCTCCTGTAACAAGTTCAAACAGCTATGAAACTATGAAAAATGCTTCAATACTGATGAAACTTGGCACAAATGTTGACTAGACCATAGCCTCTGTAACAGCATGCTCCATTGTAAATTTCCTGTTACCATGGCAACGGGGGGACATCTCAAAATTGCCAAAAATCTCTATTTTGCATTGTTTTTGTTCCCCGCTTTTTCGAAGAAAAACGGGGGATATAGAAATAGGCTCTGTCCGTCCGTCACATTTTCATGTCCGGTCAATAACTTTGTCATTTATCAAAGGAATTTGAAATAACTTGGCACAATTTTTTATTATAATAAGACGATGTGTCATGAGCAACAACCAGACCCCTACCTCCAGGGTCAAGGTCGCACTTGCTCATTCAAGGTCAACATTGTCTATTTGAGGGTATATGTCGTGTCGTGTCCATAACTTTCTTATCTATGAAGGGATTTTGTAAATACTTGCCATAATTGTTCACAATAATCAGACGATGTGTCATGCGCAAAAAGCAGTCACCTACCTTCAAGGTCAAGGTCACACTTGGAGGTCAAATATTAACATAGTCTGTTACAGGGTATATTTCATGTTCGGTCTATAACTTTGTCATTTATCAAAGGAATTTGAAATTACTTGGCACAAATGTTTGTTATAATAAGACAATGTGCTATGCGCAACAACCAGACCCCTACCTCCAGGGTCAAGGTCGTACTTGCTCATTCATGGTCAACATTGTCTATTTGAGGGTATACGTCGTGTCTGGTCCATAACTTTCTTATCTATGAAGGAATTTTATCAATCCTTGCCATAATTGTTCACAATAATCAGACGATGTGTCATGCGCAAAAACTGGTCACCTACCTCCAAGGTCAAGGTCACACTTGGAGATCAAATACTTATATAGTCTGTTGCAGGGTATATTTTGTGTCCGGTCCATAACTTTTTCATAGATCAAAGTATTTTGAAAATACTTTGCACAAATAGTCACTATAATTAGAGAATGTGTCATGCGCAACACGTGCATCCCTACGTCCAAGGTCAAGGTCACACTTAGAGGTAAAAAATTAACATAGTCTGTTATAGGGTATATTTTGTGTCGGATCTAGAACTTCTTCATAGTTCAAGGGATTTTAAAATAACTTGGCACAAATAGTCACAATAATAAGACGATATGTCAAGTACAACACCTGCACCCCTACCTCCAAGGTCAAGGTCACACAAGGTCAAAGGTTAACAGAGTCTGTTATTTGGTATATTTTGTGTCCCGTCCACTACTTCTTCATAGATTAAGGGATTTTGAAAATACTTGGCACAAATAGTCACAATGATTAGATGATATGTCATGCGTAACATCTGTGTTCTACCTCCAAGGTCACACTTAGAGGTCAAAGAATTACATAGTCTGTTATAGGGTATATTTTGTGTCCAATCTATAACTTCTTCATAGTTCAAGGGATTTTGAAAATACTTGGCACAAATAGTCTCAATAATAAGATGTTATGTCATGCACAATACCTGCTCACCTACCTCAAAGGTCAAGGTCACACTTAGAGGTCAAAGCTTAACATGATAGATTTTTAAATTCCGTGTTTCATTTTATTTTTTTTAAAAATTTATTGTTACATTTGCAGATCTAGCATTGATCATAATTTTGAACTGAATGTCCTGAGATCCATACCTCAATCTTTTGAAATAGCACAATTTTATGCTTCATATAAAACTTCCCGAGGCGGGGACGTTGATGTCTGTCTTTCAAATTAGCTAATACCACCATGAGTAGTTGAGTAACTTTTCAGGTAAATTTTAAACAAAATCAATTTTCCATTTAAACCACTAGACATCTATATAACCTTGAGTACTATGTGGCAAGTGAACAGTAATGCCATAGAAATTGTGCAATAAAGAAAATCTAAACTTTCATGATAAAAAGGGAGGTTACCTTTACTAGAATTATGTGACAAAGGGAGATCATCATCACTGCCTCCACGTCCACTGTCACTGGTCACTGTTTCTCGTGATGTGTCACTGTTTGTATCTTTCTCATTTGGTATGCCCTGAAATAATAAATTATAAAGTTAGGTAAACCCTGAAATAATAAATCATAAAATTAGGTATGCCCTGAAATTATAAAATTAAGTATACCCTGAAATAATAGATTATAAAATTAGGTATACCTTGATATAATAAATCATAAAATTAGGTATGCCCTGAAATTATAAAATTAAGTATACCCTGAAATAATAGATTATAAAATTAGGTATACCCTGATATAATAAATTATAAAATTAGGTATGCCCTGAAATAATAAATTATAAAATTAGGAATACCCTGAAATAATAAATCATAAAATTAGGTATACCCTGAAATAATAAATTATAAAATTAGGTATACCCTGAAATAATAAATTAAAATATTCTCACACACAGCACAATTAAAAGGAAAGGGGGTTGATTTCAATCAGTAGCATTTAGAAGCTCCATGCAATACACTCGGCTAAACGATTCTGAGACTGTCCTAGTTTGGGCAGAAATCTGGTTGTAATGAAAACCCGGAAGTAACAGTAGCTGTTGCTGTTTCATCACAGGGTTTTTAGAAGAATTATTGTTTCAGTAAAATTATGGGACGCCAGATATGAGTATCAGAATACAAATACATCAAAAGTTTGAGAAAGAAGTACAAGCACATATAGAAAACCGGTTTTTAAAATATTGAACAAAAATTCTGTAGACCTCAAAAAAATATTTTATACAAATATCTGGTACTTCGGATGACAATCCTACCTAAAATCACCCTACAGACTTATCAGTCAGGTTTTAAATATTAAATATTTGTCAAAAACATTTTACCCCAACATTGTTTCCCCATTTTTTTATTGTATTACAAATGTTTATACAAAACTCTTTTATGGTTACTTTACAATTTAAATTCCAATGTACTTTTCCATTTTAATATAATTATTATACATGTATATTATTTTTCCTTTTGAAATATTATATTTTCCCATTTTAATTCTATTAAACATTCTTTTCCTATTTTTTTGTGTTATAGTTCCCATTCAAATTATATTGATTTTTTCCATTTTGTAAACTTGTAAGTAAGTAAGTAACAACTTTATTTAATTTTGATTTTAATTTTACTGTACAGTAATTTCCCGTGTTGTATTTTCACCATTTTTATTACATTGCACATTATTTTCTGATATTGTATTTCCCCTTTTAATTATATTGTACATTATTTTCCAATATTGTATTTCCCCATTTTATGATAATTCAATTATACATTATTTTCCCATATTGCATTTTCCCTTTTCAATCACATTGTACATTATCTTCCCATGTTGTATTTATATTTTACATTATTTTCCTATATTGTATTTCCCCATGTTAATTATATAATACAATATTTTCCCATATTATATTATCCCATTTTAATTATTGAGTATATTGCACATTATTTTTCCATATTGTATCATTTTAATTACATTGTACGTCATCTTTCCCATATTGTACTTCCCCTATTTTTATTATATTGTACATCATTTTCTCATATTGTATTTCCCCCTTTATTTATATTGTACACCTTTAATCCCATATTATATTTCCCTACCCCTTTTTAATTGTATTGTACTTTATTTTTTCCAATATTGTATTTGCCCATTTTAATTATATTGAACATTATTTTTCCCATATTGTATTTCCCCATTTTGATATGATTCTATGATGTTCTGATAATAATTTCACTTTGTGCATATATTTTTATATTCTCATTTCAAGTTTACCTTATTTTCCTATTTAAATTCTTTTCCATTTTGGAACACATTTAATTCTATTAATAGACAGGTCACCAAGTATGGTGTCTAATAAATGGTGCTCACTGCTACATTTATAACAAAGTCTTCAATTATTAAACCCCAATCACTACATGATAAAATACTTTCTTATTATTCTATAGCCAAAAAGATACAATACAAATTTAGATGAATTTAAAACTTATTTAACTTTTTGGATATTCTTCAACTATAACCTTTCCTGTATTTTCCCATTATTCTGGCTAAAATTGATTAAAACCAGGAAAAAGACTGTTTTATAGGTTTTTATTTCATGTAACTGTGATATAAATCTTGAACCTTGTAAATATATCTCACAGAATAATTACAAAAAAAACCCAAACATAGAGATTTGTTTCAGTTTTAATCAGAATTGAACATTAAAAGTGCCTGCAATACATGCTTTAAATTCTTCTGTATCACTGTTGAATCAAGATTTTCCAACAACCTCATCTGCTGGAGGTAAGAGATGCAAAAAAATTAGACTCTAAGAGATGCACAAATTCCAGTTATTTAAACCCATTTAGTCAACCACACATGGATAAATGGTGGCTGCAATTGTTATGAGCAACCCCTCAACCACAAGGGGCTCACTAGACCATATGCAGAGACTTATCCCAACTTCAAACTGGGTGGGTATTTTGTAGGTTGTTATTCTATAGATTAATTACACATGCTGACAAAATGTCATTGGCACAAAACAACACCCTAACAACTCCCCATTTCAATTCCACCACCCACTCTCTCCATTAATTACAGCAAGTCATTTAAAACTCTCTTAAACAAACATGTCAGCTTGAAAATGCAGTGGTAGAAAAACTATCATATTTAATTCCTGAGAGGATAATATTTGATTGATATGTTTATTTTGTGATTTAGTAAAATTGAGCTGGAAAAACCATTTCCAGGGAAAGTTTGTAAAAACCAACAATAAAGGTGATTTGTTATAATGATTAATGTACAAGGTAATGATTAATGTACAAGGTAATAGATAGTGGTAACATGATTCGGAATGATTTATGTTAAAATAATTATAACATAGATATATTGAAGTAATGATGTTAATTTCAAGGACACCAATAAGAGAATGCCTTGCCTATATTATAAACACTTATAGACACTAAAATAAAACTGTTCTCAAGGACAAATGTTTAACACCCCTGACTTTTAAGCACTAGCATCTCAACACTGAAGGTTTTAATTTCCTATACAGGAATTTTGGTGAGGAACCTATTCAGCTTGCTAGCAGAGTATGCTTTAATTCCACACTTTGTAATTCACAAAGCTGGGCACCAAGTGTTCTCCCACCAATAAAGCTGGGAAAGTGGATGTAAGGCATTGTACCAGGGTTATGCCCTCCTAACCCCCACCTCCCAATGATGGATCTGTGCATGTCTGTGTTTCTTAAAACAAAACTTAACTACTTAAAACAAAACTTAACTACTTAAAACAAAACTTAACTACTTAAAATAAAACTGCACCAATAGTACTAAAATCAATCATCACTTGACATAAAATGTTGTCACCAACAATACCCTATCTAGTACTATAAATCTCTAACCATTAGCAACAAACAATAATCATTCTCATTTTTCACACAGTTTGCAATAATTATTTGAATTTCTATTAATTGTATACCATGAGGGACGGTATCATTACACACAATTTAATTGTAAAGCAAGACATATAGAGTTAATATTTTACTGAAATTCATGAGAGAACCAGATTTGAGCCATGTCACAACAAAACCAACATAATGGGTTTGCGACCAGCATGGATCCAGACCAGCCTGCGCATCCGTGCAGTCTGATCAGGATACATGCTGTTTGCTTACAAACCCTATAACAAGTAGAGAAACTGATAGCGAACAGCATGGATCCTGATCAGACTGCGAGGATGCGCAGGCTGGTCTAGATCCATGCTGGTCGCAAACCCATTATGTTGGTTTTGTCGTGACACGGCTCATTTCTTTTTTTCATGTTTAAGTGTATAAAGCTATATTATCTCAGCTTCCTGCAATTGAGAATTTTCTTTTACAGAATCAACCATAAGATTATTAACATAATTTCCTTTTTTTTTAAATTTTAAAAGAATTGTTCATTAGCTCAAGAAATATTTTTATATAAAAATTTAACAATTGAAATAATAATTGCAAATTTTTACGAAAGTCAAAGGCAAAAACTCTAGAAATACTGAATAAATACAAATGCACAACTACACATGAGGACCAACATTGCTGTAAAGTTTCATGACTAGGTCAATAGGCACAACACAATTGAAAATTTCAAATTTTTACTAAGTCAAGGGCAATGCAAAACTGAATGAATCCGCAAGTGAAACCCCAGGTGCACAATTTCACATGCTGATCAACATTTCTTAAAATTTTGTTGAGTCTGGCACATACACTTTAAGAGCTACAGGCTAAACAACATGAGAACGGAAGGACAGTGGGGGCACAAAAACTGCCCTAAGAGGATGATGTAAGAAACTGAGAACTGTAAATTGGAGCCCTAACAAACAAAACATCAGATCAGATCTATGATACTATAGTGATTTAATGTTAAAGTAATAATTATGTTAACTTTTACTAACCTTGATAGGTTTATGCGGCCATTGTTTAGCCTGACAGATGAGCAAGGCCTGTTGTAACTGGAACGTCTTCATCTGCTGTCTGTCTTGAAACATCAGCTGTTACATGAATAGAAAACAAAATTATCTTAAACCTTTGACCCTTGCTGCTTGGCAACTAAATATGCATTGTACACACACAGCCAGTGCAGACCAAGATCAGCTGGCACACCCATGCCGTCTCATTATGGTCTGCACTGTTCGCTATTGAGTCATTACATATTTTAAAATTTTCCCTAAACATTTTCCTTAAAAAATACATGGTTTTGTCCAGGTTGAAAGATGGAAAGTCAACTTGAGATATCTAATGTGGTATAGGGTTTCATATTGTGACAACTGGGAGCATGCTATAATTTTGTCTACAATACGTCCCCTAATACAAATCAGATAGCCTTTCTATTACTTTGATCATGTTATACCAAAACATGAATAAATAACTTGCGTTTTTACTGGGATTTTATTTCAGCATTAAATTTTGAAATGACTAAATTCATTCTGTTTTAACTTCTCCATATAAGCATGGAAATATTTTAACTAAACTACTAAAATGAAAAGAAAAAAAGTTCTAGTTTTTAATGGTTGATAAAATATTGATTACAAAGTCATGCAGTCATGAAGAAAGTTACTTTTAATTAAACAGATTTTTGCCTGTCATTCGACCCCATTTAATCAATTCTTTTTGAACTCACTGTTAAAAAATTAAACATCCTGTCAAGTCATCATTATGTCATGCAATTAACTGCAATTTCATAATCAATTTAATTGATTTGTTTGAATTATACATTTGAAATGTTACATGGAAACACATCATTCTTGATTGATGAAATATTGATAGAAATGTTAAATAAACCATCCCCGTTATCTGGGTAATAATTGTAATTTATTGAATTCTTTCCAGCTTTTGATTCAAGATAAGTTTATATTTTCTCAATATTTTATATCATTAATTCAATTAAAGTTGCACCTGTCAGTTAAATTGTCTTTGATTGTGTCAGATTTCACGCCATCTTTATCTTATATTGACAGAAAATATTATAAATTTCGTAATAAAATGTTGAATATAGTTAATAAAGGATTGTTGAGATAAAATAACTTCTAGTACTAAGTCTATCAAATTGTGACAGACAATTTAAGAGAAAATTGTAACAATTGTCGGGGTAAAATATTGGACAAGATAATATAAGCCGTGGACCGTTGATCAATGTGGATTTATCAATATCTACGAGAATAAACAAAATTCTAAAATAAATAAGCTAAACTTCCTAGCTTAATATATCTAGTCAAATAATAATTTGTCTAAAATAATTGAACATAAAGACGGAAACAGTGTGAATGTAATAAACTATAACTTGGTTATCAAATTTGTCTGACAACTTATTTTGTTTGTAACAAACTAAAACTCCCAGACGTTAATAGTAAAAGTCAATATTAAGTGACGTCTGCAACTTTCACAAAATTATTGCAGACAAACAAAAAGTGCACAAAAAATGTGAAGTTTTCTATTATTCTTAATTTATAGGAAAAAACCTCAAAACAAAACAAAAACAATTCTTACTAAAATGGTATCACAATATCTCAGACAAAACTCTCATTAAAATAATTACATTTTAACAGAATGATGTTCTTTTTTGTAATTGAAATTTCAAAGTACATGGATGATTATAATACAAATACACACAATTTATAATCTTTTTTTCCTTTATCAATTTTTGTTCCCCCTAAATTTTGCAAAAGTTTATTGTGAGGATATTACCATTGTAGTGTCACAAAAAAACTAAATTCATACATTGAGTCATTAGTAATAAACCATTAATTTACTTTTTAATACATTTTGAGGGGGAAAAAATATGTTATCCAAATTACCCACCCCCAAGTTTTCTGCCAATTAATTATATTAAGTTCTTTATATGATATGCAACAGAATTCATTGCGACACTTGGTGACATTCTGCGAAAAATATGACTGAAATGCAGGAGTCATGTAAAATAGATAATTTTTTATTTATTTTTAATATATATTTTATTTATTTATAATTTTATTTATTTTGATTAAAAATAAATTATATATTTTAATACTATTTTTAATATAAATATAATATAATTTTATATTTAATTTTATTTATTTAAATTAATATTAATAATATTATTTTTTTGTTATATTTATTTTAATTTATTTTTATGATTAATTATAAATATAATTTTTATATTAAATTATAAGAATAATTGTTAATTTATTTTAAATTTTTTAATTTAAAATTTATTATTTTAATTATTATTATATAAATGTTATTAATTATTTTTTATATAACATTTTTTTTTTTTTTTTTTTAAAATATTTTATTTAAAAAATATACAATATTTATATTAATAATTGTTGCCAAAAACACCCACCCGCCCACTAGCATTCGCTATTCCAATAACACACATTTTAAAAAAATTAAATTTTTTCAAAAAACCCAAAAATTTAGGGGTTTTTTAAAACTATCGGGTAAAAATGGGCCCTTGAAATTTCTGGAAAAATTTTTCCCTACGAAATTTTAATGGATTATATTTTTGAATTTAACTTCCCTTTTCGGGCTCAATAAAATTTTTTGTAAAATTTTTCCCAATCCAAATAAAAATTATTAAATATGAGAGAGGTTTTTTCTAGTTTTTGGCAGTAGTTTCGGGAAAATTTGTTTTTTAAACCCAATCAAACTTAATAACACAAGTCATTTTTTTCCTTCAATGACAAAAGTCTGCTGACTTTATGAATGACTTCTATACTTAAGATGATGTTATTTCCACAACATTTATGAATGAAGTTAAAAAAATTCTTACACTTCTATAAGGAAAAAGTGCAAAAAAAGAGAAAAGTTTTTGTTTCTTTGAACTATGTTTAATATGTAGGTAATGTACTAGGAAAAGAATTGCACATTGGCTTCTAGTACAGATGGGAATATTTAACACTCAAGTCAATGTTCAGTAGTAACTTAACAGTAACAAAACCCTTTTAGTTTGTCATTGGTCACATATACATTATGGCAAACCATAAAACTGGAATAACTTTCACCTGTTACGGCAGCATTTAGTACAGGAATATTGAATTTTGAAACCTTTCACTAAAGGCTGTTTTTTTACCAGTACATTTTGAATTTTGAAACATGACCTTTACCCTTGGGATCAGGAATTCTATGAGTGCTTTGCTTAAATTATGGTGGCTGATTTGGTACATTGCGTGCTGCGTTGCCGACAGCAACAACACAAACTATATCGTTATCACCTTTTCCTCTTGTTGCTAGCGACAACATGACAAAGAGCCAAATGGCACATTGTTGCAGTGTCGTCTTGTCTCTAGCGAAGCATGCCAAACGGTGCTTTGTCGCAATGGCGCTCTGTCACTTGGCTTATAAGCCAATCCTTTGATTTGAACCGAGCCACAATGTGACCCTGGGACAACACGCCATACCACAACGCGCCATTTGGTGTACATCGTTAGCGACAGTACGACAAGACAAAAGTTCGACAACGTGCCATTTGACGCTTTGTCCAGTTGTCGCTAGCGCCAACATGACACGCAAAAGCGTTCCAAATCAGCCGCCATTTCAAATAGCAAAACTAATAGCACAACTGCTTTCATTGGAATTTTTTGCTCAACAATTCACAAAAAAAAATATTTTTTTTCAAGCAGGAATGTCAGACACCCTATATCTGCTACAAAACTGGCAAAAAATCCCATCAAGATCACTTAGCATATATTGCCATAGTTACCATTATAAGTGACCACCCCTCAACAACAACCATCTTTCTTCTCTACCCTGGTTAATGCAGACAGGTTTTGACTGTTGATTCAAATCAAGTGTGAAGTAAGAACCTTAAGACTGATTTCCATGGCTGTATGGATTTGTTAGGGTTTATTTTTTGCACTGTGGATTTCAAATCACATTGATTCTGTACTGATCATATGACAAATTCCATAGAACTTGGGTATTCTTATGAATCATTTTAAGCATAAAACAAACAAATTAGTAGAACCACTTTCTGTAAGCTAGTTGTTGGAAGAATCCAAATCCCCTGATTGGATTTGAACCTACAAATATCAACCAACAGAGGTGAAGGGCAGGCTTTTAAAGAGCTGCAACATACAGACACATGCAGACAAAACAAAGCAACTGCAAGCAAGTTTGTGAAATTTTTCTAAAGAATATTCGTCAGTGTTTTCTAAATTTTTAAAGAAGACAATGCTCACTCAATTAACTCAGTAAGTGGCCGAGTATAAAATTCTATAGAGCTAGTATTTCAGGACCTATGAATATTATGATTGTAACATGCAAATTTGGTTGACAAAATTTGTATAACAACATGTCCAAAGATACCAAACAATTTGTCCCTTAATGCTTCAACTGTTGAAAGTTAACTGGCATTGAAAATGAACTTGTGGAAGAAAAATAAAAATAAGTACATGAGAAGATTCCAGGATCAAGTGTAACAAAACTGTCTATCCTTCTGAGAACTGGACCAGGTGCAAATAATTGGGAATATCTTTAGCCTAAATGAGGTAAATTGGAAAGAATTGGCATTCTTAATGGTAAATTTTGACACAATTTTGAGAAAAAAAAATTTCTAGTGATAGGGAATAAGTATAAGCAGTCTAAACAATACTGACTCCAAATATTGAAACAGCCCCACAAAAAACAAGAACAATTTATATAAAGTGCAGGTAACTCTAGTCTATTTGCATAAAAATTGAAATTTATGCAACATAAATACATGCGAAACTCAGTGAAGACAATTCTGTTCAAACTTTGACTTAATACAAAAGATGCAGTAATTTAAGGCATATTCAGCCAGCAATCTAGATTTTGCTACCATGCATTCCGACAAAAGCAAAGATTCAATTTAAAGAGAAAGCAGTCTAGAATGCAAATAAAGTTTAATAAAGAATCACCTTCAGATGTAATATTCCTTAAACTGTTTCAAATGAATCCTCTGGAGAAAATAAAACAAAAATAATAAGTGTAAGATATCTGTAGAACAACAATTCTTTTATCTTGTAAACCAGTTTATAAATTCTACCTTGCC